AAAAGAAGCAGTGATTTAACACTTGAGCACCCTACAGCCCATGACTGGACGTCCCTTCACCCAAAGCCCTTCATAGCTAACTGAGTGGCCATTCATTCTTTAGGAGAATGTGAAGGTTTTACTGGAGCTAGGTGGCCAGCCATTATTCGTCACAGCTTATAAAGTTAATTGGTGTCTTCAGCGATCAAAGCAGCGGCAGGTCTTGCCTCGTTATGAAGTGCAGCATTAAGACCTCCGATGGCGAGGACAATGATATGTTTGTGTATTGTTCAGTACGAAATGGTAATGTGTCTGGAGTGTGATGGAAAATTACGTCTATCGTGTTCGGAGAGACATCAAATATGTAATTTCCAGAGTTAATGACAGTAATGATTTTTGAGTAGCATAGATAAGTAGCGTTCTGAAAGTGGACAGTAGATTTCTCAACGTTACTACTTTCATGAATTTTATTTTTATCAATAATGTCAATACTGAATATTGTGCATGTTAGAGCTGCTATGTTACTATGGTAGCCACTGGAGAAAAAGGATCAAACAGCAAAAGACAAATAGAGGACAAAGCTAGAGCATGTAGCTCACCTGTTTCATTACAGTGACGGAAATGTATTTTTGTCTAATGGACCCCAGGCACTCATTAATATGTTTATGCATGCCCTTTTGGGTACTTGGGTCGGGTGGGTCCTGAGTAGGACCCGGGTACCCAAAGTACTACCTGGACCCATGATTAGTCACGTGATATACTGTTTAATGACAAAACTCACTATAGCTCAGTAGTTACACTACAAGTAGCTAATGTCGCATTTCTTTCTGACGATGCACGCATTCATTTTGACTGTATGTGTTTCAGTAATGATAAAGCTTCTGTCAACTTCAACTACATATATGTATCGAAATAGTTTTTGTCAGGGCTGCGGTAAAACAATTCCCAGTCAGACATTTTGTTCCGAACTCTTGAGACCTACAGTAGGTACCCGGATAGGGACGGGTAATATGGGTCGGGTACCCGGGTAGTAATTTTAGACTCGTCCCAGCCTTAATGCACACCCCACTTACACACGGCATACTGACTCCGAGCCAAGCAGGGTCTAATTAGTCTTATCTGATGGCAGGTTTCTTATTCCATGTGGAGTGAAACTGAATATATTTCGTATTGTTAATACGTTCTCGTTAAATCCGTCATTTTAGTCCAAATCAAAGGGTCAGGAAGGTCACCAAGCAAATCGCAAAAGATTTAGGCAGAAAACAAATAATATCATTGACACATTCACATTCAGTTCCAGACACATGCATGCTGACAGTTCACAGTCCAGTGAAATTATGAAGACTTGAGCCACACATGCACAACTGATGCTAAATACCACCAATAATGACTTAGGGGACCACATTAGTTTTGGTACAAAAGAATTGTTCCAGAAATAACTTGAAAAAAAAAATCCTCAGGTTTTATCGATACAAAAAGATTGTTCATTATACATGCAGGCTGGCCTGAAAACAAAGGTAACAATGGAAGGTTGTTTGTTTGTTTGTTTGTTTAACTCCGCACTCAGCAATATGCCTCCTATGTGACGGTGGTCTGTAAATAATGGAGTCTGGACCAGACAATCTGGTGAATTGATATCATGAGCATTGATCCACGCAATTGGGATACGATGACATGCATCAACCAAGTCTGTGAGCCTGACCACCTGATCATTAGTCGCTTCTTACAACAAGCATGCGTTGCTGAAGACCTATTCTACCCCGGATCTTCACGGGTCTAACAATGCAAGTTCAGTAAACTACGGTTATAACAAACTTGAAGGGATCACTAACTTTAATTTGTTATCACCGTTGTTCATATGTACAACATATATACAACAAATGGACAGGACCAAGAGATAGTTTGTTATATCTGTCTGTTTATTATAAGTGTGTTTGTTATAAATGTAGTTTACTGTATATAACAAGGTAAATGTCTTATTACCAAAAGAAATTGCTTTAGTTGACAAACACAAACACTTCATGATCCAGCTTGAATGAGTATGAGTGAGTGAGTGAGTGAGTTGGGTTTAACGCCACTTTTAACAGTATTCCAGTTATATCACGGCGTGTCAGCTTAGTGTGGGAGGAAAGCCAAAAGTGATGCAGGTCTCAGATGTTTATAACTTCGGTGAAACCCACAAGCACGGGTATGGTGCTGACAAACCTAGAACATAATCGGGGCGAACCGGGATTCGAACCCCCAATCATAGGTTTCTGGCGTGCCCAAGGGATGCAACTCTGCACAGCGAATCGCGGCGCCTTAGACGACTGGGCCACCCGTGCCCACCTTGAATGAGTATGACCCAGATAGTTAATACATAACATACATAAAAGACTTTTTAAAAATGTTAAAACAGTAATGCATAGTCAAAGAGTAAATATCAATCTTCGTGAACATTCAAACCTATGGCTAAAATAACCCTGACAGCATACTTATGAAACTTTATACTACCAGAAAAAAAACCTCAATACTACATTTTCAAAATAGCTGAAAATGGTATTCTAAATCAGTTACCAGATTTAATCTCATGTTGTAGCTTAGTTCCTATATATACTACCGCTACTCAATAGAAGTTAAAGAACACCCAATTCTTTCATATTACCATAGTTAATCTATTGTGCCATGACAGATTAACTGTAGTCATAAGAGTAAGTTTGGTTTTGCACCGTTTTTAGCAATATTCCAGCAATATCATGGCGGGGGAAACCAGAAATGGGCTTCACACATTGTACCCATGTCGGGAATCGAACCCGGTTCTCGGCATGACAAGTGAACGCTCTAACCACTAGGCTACCCGACCGCCTTAGTCATAAGAAAAAAATGAGTGTTCTTTAACTTCTTTTGAGTAGTGAGAACCCATACTACCAAGGTAACTCACCTGACAATCTGCACAAGTATCTTATTATCAAAAATAGATTATCCAATATGGCTTCTGTGGCAGCCATATTGGAAATTGGATTTGAGTCCATTTAACAATGTAGGTGACTAGGCGTCATTTTGGAAACATGTATATACAGACTCAGTTTCATTATCACAGTAGTATCAGGAAGATGCTGAAAAACAATACCAGACCAGGTGAGCTGATACAGACCTAAACCAGGTGAGCTAACAGTGTTTCAGAGTGAGACTATTCAACTGGACTTATAATGAGTTACAGTTTCACCTTCCATGTTTCTTGTCAGCTTTGATTGAAAATCACTAAAAAGTGTTCTAGATATTTCAATGGAAATTAACTAAAAACAGAATTTGAAGTTCATTACCTTTTTATTCATTATTTTAAGAAAACATGTTGTCTTTTCCTCAATTAAAGTCCTTTCTTTTAGATAAGATATTTTTTTTAATAGAAAAGTGCAGATCTAAAAAACTAAAGAAAAGTCATTCGGCGTCCAAAGCATCCAAAGCTATGACAGATCATGGGTGTTTGATGTCTTTTAGTTGTGTGATATCAGAGATATATAATACCGGTATATATATATATATATATGCTGTATCATCATAAATATGAGAGATTATGGCACAATGACAAGGGTGGGGTGAGCGTGCAAAGTAATCACAAGGGCAGGGCAGGTAAATAGGTTTAGTTCTATCAGAGATGGTTCATGCAAAGTAACCACATCTTTATCTTGAGGGAAAGCTAATCCACCACTGATTGGCAAATAATGCCATTTGAACTGTTACTTGGGCAACATGCAGTGATTTTATTACACTTCAGACAATAATTAAAATGAATGTTAACGTTACATAGATTATTGGAAAAGGATTACCATAATGAAGAGATAAATATGCTGTGTTTATGTTACCTGTAGATTTGGCAGGAAATAATGGAATTTGGAATCAAACAGACAGTCACAAATGTTAAACTCCACGTCATCTAGTCTGCAATGTCAGAGTTGAACTGGGATGGCCTAGGTAGCTTCGGGAGAGATATTTTGCCAATATGCCGTAATTATTTCTTAAAAATAATAGCTGCAATGCATGGAACATGTTAGACACTAGTCCATTTCAGAGATACAGGTGACATGGGCAAAATATCAATTTAATAGCCATGTATCTTATGAGGTTTACTCTTTCTTTTTGGATAATAGAATCTACCTGCCGGGATTCCGGGTAAGAATATAGGTCACCAATAACCTATGCTTGTCATAAGTTCTCAGACTCGTTAGTCATCATCATTATATCTCAATCACTTAGACCGATGCTCATGATGTCATCAATCTTTACAAAAACTTAATCGTGTTTGTGTAGCCACGAATTATGGTTGCCCATATGTCCCTTCAGTTGTGTGTCATTATTTGTGTTCCCTACAATGCATAACAGGAAAACATTCAGGCTCTTTGTGATGCCTCTGCATTATTGCATGTGAACAGATATTTTAGGAAAACCAAATAAGTTGCTACCAATGCTGAGAGTGTGCTTGTGTTTTTTTACAGTGAAATTTTACAAATTATGATTGGGGCGGTGGTGTAGCCTACTGGTTAAAGCGTTCACTCGTCATGCTGAATATCCAGGTTCGATTCCCAACATGGGTACAATATGTGAAGCCGATTTAAGGTGTCCCCCCGCCGTGATATTGCTTGAATAACTAAAAACAGCATAAAACTATACTCACTCACTGACTAGACAAAGGTGCAAACATATTAATTTGTGAACATATAAAATTTTTGTTATTAAAAATTATGTCGAAAAAGCGAAGTTCCTTTATGAATGATTATTACCCCTTGTCTCAGAACTGTGAAATCTTCGTATTTCCCGCGGCAAGCACAGGCACAAATTTTGCTGCCCTCACTCACAACGGCGCAAGAGAGGACCGCACATCTGCGAAATAGTGTAAATTCTGCATGCTATCCCTTTTTCTTCTAAAAATACATATATTTGTCAACAGTCATTATAAGTAATTTTAAATACATTTTGGATTATAATTTTAAGTTGCAAGGATTCAGTCTAATGAATTTGGATAATTTCTTCAGTGCGGGGCTATCGTACATTTTCGGTCGGGAAGATCAACAAAGTGAGACCGGTGACGATTTCTTGAAGTTATCTCACGTCTGTTACACAAAGAGAACATTCAAAATGATGGAATTAAATCTTACACGTGTAGACTATCAGCAGGTAACTATATATGAAAATTTTCAAACACGTTTATATTAAAGTGAAGCGATTTATGTCAATATCCTTCTAAGTGTCCTATTTTCGTTCACAAAACGTACACGACAGAGGCCTGCCTTTACCAGTATTTGTCGTTAACTTGTTCTAGGTGGGGTCATTCATTATTGTCACTGGCTATGGTGACTGGAAACAAATAAAACATATATATTTGAGAGCTGTCATATAATGCATTAAAAGATTTTAAAAGCTTACATGGGTTTTTTTAATCAATGAAAACATCAATGTGTGTGGCCCAATGTGTTTAGTGTCTTACTAAATATGCTCAAGGTTGTCTGTAGTTTTACTAAAAAATCGTAAATGTTTTGAGTATTCAGAAGAAATATTTAACTTCCAGAGCATTAAAATATATATATATTTGCAAAAGCAAAATGCAGATCTGATCATATACCTTCAATCAGAGACCATAACAAAAGGGATGCCCCTCCCCTACCGTTTATCATTAACCATCAGCACTACAGTCTGGCATGTAACTTATACACTCCGACACCCTGCTGTTACCTCCCAGTACTGCTGCAGATGCGCAATAAATGCTCAGACATTCTCAACTGACATTCTGGTTACCACATAAACAATATCATATTGCATAATATGCGGGGCTAGAGTTAATTACCTAAGCCAAGATTTCTCTGACTATGACAAGTGACAATCCAATAAAAGGATGGTTCTTAGCAGATGACAATGGTCTTTGTCTTATCTCTCATAAGCAGATGTCAGTTGGCTGTGAATTATTCACTGAACATGTATGTCTTCTGAAATGTACATGTACTTATAAGCTCAGGACATTTATTTAAATTTACATATCCTTCAACGACTTCATTCACTGAGACGATTCCATTTTGTGCCTCGATATTTTACTTGGAGAGAATTCGCAGACTACGACCAGGGGTGGGTTCTGGATGACTCTTGGTCTGAAGAGAATGACACAGTCTAATATCTAGTCTCTGAAATGAACATAGAAATATAATAAAAAGGGGCCAATAGACATTCTTCATTTTCAGACGGGCAGTAATATAGATTTGCCAAATATTATTGACTTGCAGGGGCTGTTTTGGATACATTTGTTTCAGGGACTGTATGATAGACTAAAAATGATAGTGATGTTTCCGCTACCATGTCATCGGTAAAATCTCCCCAAAAGTTTCAAACAAAGAAAAAGATAGGAAAAGAAAATGCGATGGCTGTCTATGAATGTAGGTTTTGGCGGGCGTGTGAAGAAAATGCACAACCAATTCGATATAAAAAGTAGCATATAATTAATTTTTTTTTTTTTTAAATCAGTAAATATATCTTATTTTATGTTGCAATTGCATAACTATTATTAATATACAAATAACAAAATCCACTGTGAACGCCACAGAAAAATATGATCCAGTTAATTGCACAGGAAATCAGGAAGTGTAAATAAAACTCATCCAGACGCAATCAAGACAGTTGTAACAGTTCACCATATTCCCAATGTGAACAAAGTATATCTCCAAATTATTTTCGTATCATACAATTATTTCAGACTAGATTACTTGCAAATATGCATGGGTACTTGTGTTTACTGGCAGCAAGAAAAATGACGCTATTAATCTACAGATCTTGTCTTTATTTCATGTAAATTTGCTAGTTTTTTATAATGCTAATTGTGCCAATGAATTAAAATTTCACAGTAGACTATGAGCGTTGTTAAACAAATGTTTGATGAGACAGAGATCCAGTGTTATGAGTTAATGCCACTTTGGAGCTAGTTGTGATAAAGCCATTTGCCGGAGCGAGACATTCTTTTTTTCAAAAGGCGGCTACTCTTAAATTCTAAAGCAAAGAAGACAATTGTAATTTTACATTTGTTATTTAATATTACCCGTTAGTTTGAACAGTTCAGCATCAACATGCATGGTACCAGATACAAATATCGTAGCCTGTATTAACGTTTGTAGTTTTTTGTCTGAATTGAGCTCAGTTTCGCCATGGTTTTCTAGTTATTCCTCATCAAATACGAACTTTAAACTTTATTTCATGTAACAAATTTATATTTTTATATTATGATGTCACTGTGTCTAAACATACAATGTCATTTAGCTCATAATTTATATTGAGGAAGAATACTTATCATGCTTATAGTATTACATATACAGTATAAAGAAATAAAGAATTTAAACGATAGTCATCATTAATAAAGAAAAAATCTACAGAAGGTAACAAATATAATCATCGTGAAAATATGTACAGTTTTCTTCAGCACGCTCTGTGATAGAGGCCTAACTAAAACAAAGTCAATAGTTATGTCGTCTACTATATGGTAATTTAACTATAAATATATGATGAAATATGGGTTTGCGCCCAAAATAATATGAACACGAATACCGATCATACCTAAATAATTTTGGTTCCAAGCAAAAGGTGAAATCGTGATGAATGGAAACATAATTATTTCAGGATTGACAATAGGAATAAAAATACAAAAATTAAGTGTCGTGTAAGTATTTCAGTTGCATTTTATTAGTCAAAATAAAAATATATGCGACCGCCCTGAATTTGTTAATGGCACGAAACAAATTTTTAACATGTCTCCTTTTTATACATCTTGGTAACCAAGGACTTTCATTGAGAATTAATTTCTATTATTGAAAATCACAATCTGCACTTCTGCTCATTTTAGATGTGCGCCATTTTGCTCACTCGGACAAAAACTAAGTGTGACTACAGTCATCGAATACAATGACAATGAATGCTTGAGTACACTAATAAATCTCAGGTGTAATGTGGACAATGTTAAGAAGTAAATGAGCATAAATATGTATTTTGAAATATAACCTTTTCATGAATTATAAGGAGACAATGATCACTGCAGTGAATGTGTATTTGCCCGCTTCTGGATAGGCCGCACAGTACAAGCCGTAGCACTGATGGTTTCACGCATCGGCTAGAGGGCCTTCATATTTATGTTATGGTCCCTGCCTCAATGAAATCTTTACATTTGCTCAAATCTGTTTTTGATGAAATTGTACTCATTAAACCGTCTCCAATGTAATAGGCATCATGTATATGGTCTGTATTTGTACTTATTTCAGGTGGGGATCACGTCTCCCAAGACAATGAGGCTTCTCCCTGCTTCAGGAAAAACACAAAGGGTATGATATTTGATAAGCAAATCACAGGGGATGACCCCTGTGAAGATCTGAGTCAGACTTGGTCGTCAGCAACCCATGCTTGGCGTAAGAGGTGACTAACTCATTCGGGTGGTCAGACTCGCTGGATTGGTTGATGCTTGTCATCATATCCCAATTGCGTATATTAATGCTCATAATGTCAATCACTGGACTGTTTGGTCCTGATTCGATTATTTCCAGACCGCCGCCGTGTAGCTGGAATATTGCTTTGAACGACAAACAAACATATTTGATGAGGGGCCCAGATGGCCTAAGGTATGACAACTTGTTGTGTTGAGTTGTGTCCCTTTGTTGATCCAGGATCCACTAATTGTGGGGTCAATCTCAGAATTGCCTCAGTTTTCTGTTTTAGGAAGTTTTTTGTTAATTTTTTTCTCCAGATCTCTGATGTAAAGTATTTCAGGGCCCCATTTCTCAAAACAATATTAGCGCTATAATGATCATAGTACTAAGACCCCTTTGCGGTAACAGGGGCCTGCTGTCTCTGCCTGATCCTTCATTGTGTGCCATGTTCTGTGTTTAGATAGCTGTGGCAGACCATCAAGGGGTCCTGCAGTGTTTCGGTATGAAAAAGGGAGAAGTTCAGGTAAGTGATGATAGCTAGCAAATTATACAACGTAAAGTTAAATTAAATTAAATTAAATTCCAATTTCAAGATATATTGTGTGAGTTCTCTGTTTTCTGTATTGCCTGAAATAAGAAAACCTATCCATCAAATGTATTGATAGTTATGAATCAACAAAACTGCTGTATGACATGTATTATGTATTATGGATGTAATTTTATGAAAGTTATGGGTCATCTAGCACCGATTAGGGGCAGTGGGTTAGCCTTGTGGTTACCGATAAGCATTTGCTGGTCACGACCAAGACCCGGGTTCTATTCCCCACATGGGTATCATATGTGGAACCCATTTCTGGGTGTCTGCCACCCTGATATTGCTTGAAAATTTCTTAAAGTGGCATAAAACCATACTCACTCACTCTAGCACAGATAGGGCTATTTTATAATCGGAGGGTCGATTTTGTGATCACAAGTGCTACATGAATGCAACTTATCTGCAGTGCAGTTTGTCTTGTTAAATTTAATTAAAAATGACTTGGTTTTATGTAGGCGCACATCCATGCACTCCTTCTGGATCCATGTATACATGGTCTTGACATTACTTATAGTGATAGAGAGACTCCTATTTTGAAACTCAGAAAACTTTACCAATCCATGGAGGGATTTTGCTGATCCTGTGGTTTATGGTACTGCATTTTGCTGTGCAGAGTTGTGTCCCTTAGAAGTGCCCAAACCTACTGATCATGGGTTTGAATCCCTGATCGGTCCCAATGATCATCCGTTGTTTGTTGTGTTGAACATCTCTGACCGGCAGCTTCTCCCCCACGTCCAGCTGGTAGGTCAGGATATAACAGAAAGTTTTTAAAATTATCCTATCTCACTCTATGCATTTCTTCCTTCTTCTTTTGATCCTCATGTGGAAACATCCTAAAACAAAGTTTCCAGCTTCCAAAACCATTTCGCCCAAACACCCCACGCATCACCATAGTCACTCAAATGGCGGCTCGGTAACCTGACACCCTATGCCACATCGCTAACGTGGAACGTGTTTGTGCAGTCAAAAATTAGTAAAAAGATTCTGCAAGAGTTTCTATCCGGCATTCGAGTTAAACTGTGGCACTTTAAAAGTAGCATAGTCTAGACTAGTACAAGCCGCCACACACACATGCCTTCATGTTGAAATATGTAGGTGCAGTAGTCTTGACCGCGACATTGATCCCCATGCCACCTCACCTTACCTGTTCAGCACATTCAAAGCAACATTAATATCAAACTGTTCTCTCCCTTCTACATGTACCAGGGAGTTAATGACAGTGTTTTCCATCAAAGATGAACGTGTGGTTCTTTGTTTTTCAGCAAGTATTTGCCACTCTGCCGGGACCGAAGATCATCCGCCTGGAAGTTGCAGGGCCAGTGGGCGGGGCTAAGGAGAGGATATTTGTGGCATCAGGGCCGGAGGTCAGAGGTTACACAAAGAAGGGCAAAAACTTCCTGACCTTTGACACAAACATGTCCGAACCAATACAGTCCATGTAAGATGTTCTGTTGTTGTGGCATTCAGCATTGAATCTTGTTAAGTGTATTTTGTTAAATGTATATATCTCAGACGGAAACCAGGTACAGGTGCTTCCTGCATGAAGCGGGGCCACAGTTGGCCCAGTCGTCTAAGGCGCAGCAATTCGCTGTGCAGAGTTGTGTCCCTTGGGCACACCAGAAACCTATGATAGTGGGTTCGAATCCCAGTTCACCCCGATTTTGTTTCTAGGTTTGTCAGCACCATACCCATCCTCGTAGGTTTTATCAAAGTGGTACACGTCTCAGACCTCCATCACTTCAGGCTATCCTCCCACATTAGCTGACCCGTCGTGATATAACTGAAATATTGTTAAAAGCGGCATTAAACCGAACTCACTCACTCACTCCTGCATGAAGCATATCTTTCTGCTTTCTAATAAAACAATGTTATTTTTTACTTTCAGGTAGTAACTTTTTACACAGTTGAAAAAATACAATCTGTCAGCATCAGTTTTCAAATATCATGTCCCTAAAGTACCCTTCGTTGATGGAAGGTGGTGTCGCAAGCCCTACTGGCAAGACAATTATGTTCACAGATGTATAAATGCAGGATCTGGGGCAGTTGGGTAGCCTAGTGGTTAAAGTGTTTGCTTGTCACGCTGATGACCCGGGTTCGATTCCCCACATTGGCGCAATGTGTGAAGCCCATTGCTGGTGTCCCCCGCCGAGATATTGCTGAACTACTTTGCGAAAAGTGATGTAAAACCCAACTCACTCAATGGTGCAGAATCCACTGCCTCTGTGGTCTAGTGGATAAAGCTTTGGTGGTTTCATCCCCAACTGCACAGTGTACCAAATGACCTTAAAAGAATGTATTTGTTGTTACCCTGCCTGGCACTTGGCATTAAGAGGCGAAAACCAGGACTGACTGGCTCAGAATCAGTTTCCTGTGTCCAAGGTGTATTCATGTTAAACCGTGATCCGGGGTAGAATAGGTCTTCAGCAACATTTGCCACAAAAGTCAACTATGCTTGGTCTTCAGCAACCCATCCTTGTTGTAAGAGATGACTTACTGGATTGGGTGGTCAGGCTCGATGACGCATGTCATCGTATCCCAACTTCGTGGATCGATGCTCATGATGTCAGTCACTGGATTGTCTCATCCAGACCCGATTATTAGCAAAATGTGTTGTAACATTATTTTTTTGTATTGGTAGATTTCTGCAGCACAGCAGATACTGTAACCATGGTAACAATGTGACATGTTGCATTGTAGGTATGTTGAAGGCTCTGATCTGTTCACATGCGGAAACTTCATCTACAACCACTACCGCGACTGTAAGGACATCAACCACTTCCTGTGCGGAGATAAGATCAATGATGTCATCAACCTGCCCTTGGACAAGATACCTGATGTAATCCCCATCCTCGCCTGTCAGGACCGCGTGCTTCGATCACTGCAGGTAGGGGAACAAACAAGTGGTGGATTCAGCAGTTTGACATGGTCCTGTGTCCAGTGCACAGGTCACAAGGCAACATTGTTTGCCGAGAGTGGCTGGATGGGTGACCGAGTTAGGCAGCTTGACTCCTGAAGTTTCTTGTGCTTCTGTCCTGCACCACACTTAGCACATGTCACACACACTGTGTCATCTTAGGCATGTGAATTTGTTTGAAATATGCCTCCGTTCTCCCAGCAGTACATGGGTACCTAGTAGGGTGAGATGACTGTTAACCTTCTAACACCTCACAGACAGCTTGGGTTATATACTGTAAATCTTGAAATTAATGCGTTTCCAAATTATTACGACTGCTGACCCCTTGCCAAAAATGCAACTCAGTATCAATGCGACTTGTGTTTATATTCAAGTTGGTATTTCCACTATCTAAAGTGTGCAGTGAGGCTGTCTTATTGTTGATAAACATTTTGGAGACATAAATGCGAAGTTTCATTCATGCGAACAGCAATTTCAAGACTACAGTACTTCCCAGGGAGCTGAGAAGGAAAATTGAATGCACACTGACCCTTTGGGGAGGCACGGGATGCCCAGTCGTCTGAGGCGCAGCGATTCACTGTGCAGAGTTGCATGCCTTGGGCACGCCAGAAACCTATGATTGTGGGTTTGAATCCCGGTTCGCCCCAATTATGTTTCTAGGTTTGTCAGCACCATGCCCGTGCTCGTGGATTTCACCGAAGTGGTAAACGTCTGGAACCTGCTTCACTTCGGGCTTTCCTGCCACATTAAGCTGACACGCTTTGATATAACTGCAATACTGTTAAAAGCGGTGTTAAACCCAACTCACTCACTCACTGACTGATCCTTTGGTCAGGGTAATATTGAAGCACTTTGAGCAAGCTGTAGTGTATGGTTTTGTTGCATAATAAATATGCACATTATTATTACATTATTTAACTCCAAATTGAATTAAATCAATTTGAAAACAGTTGGGTTTTTTCAGCTCAAGTTAGATGTACATGTATTTCTATACTGTCTTAGCAATGATTTATCTGGTACCTGTATGATGTCACATCACTCACTCAGCTGTCACACATGGTTCGATCTACTGTTTCAGTCTGAATTGTGACATGGACGCAACAGTGAGACTGTCTAAAGGTCTCCTAGTTTCAGTTTCCTGAGTGACGTCTCATCTTTCATGTCGAAATGAACCCGTGAAGATCAGGGTTATGCCTTCAGAAACCCATGTTTTCCATAAAAGGCGACTATGCCTGTCGTAAAAGGCGACTAACAGGATTGGGTGGTCAGACTCGCTGACTTAGTTGATCCATGTCATCGTATCCCATTTGCGTATATCAATACTCATGATGTCACACACTGGATTGTCTGGTCCAGAGTCAATTATTTACAGACCGCCGTCACATAGCTGGAACATTGCTGAGTGCGGCGTTAAACAATAAACAAACAAACAGATATTATGTCGCATTCTGCCATATGTCCCATCTGTTAGTCTCGGGTGTCACAGTCTCGGGTGTCACAGTCTCAGGTGTCGCATGATCTCACATGACACATGGTCTTAGCTAAAGTAGGAATGATGTCTCACTCTGTGTAATGATGTCTGTCCGCAGCATTCGGAGTTGCTGTATGAGGTGGAGGTGCCAGGTCCGCCGGTCGTGCTGGAGCTGTACGGGAACGATGCCGGTGGGTGGAATCTAGCGTCTCCCACTGTCCCTTACTACAAGGACAGACCATTGTCATTATCAAAAATATGTTGTTCAGACCACAGATATAAAACTGGAGAGCAAATGGTTAAAAGCAATGAATGGTTAAAGGGGGGCTATGGCCTGCCGATTTGCCAGTCCCAGCCAGTTCAGTTTTTCAAACACCAATTGTTATCCCCACGATGTGTTCAGTCCATCCTTCCATGCAAGATGTTGTTCCTGGAGCAGATCTTGAAAAACCGACCATATTTCTTCACCAAACTTGGCACATAGATAAGTCTAGTGGTAAAATGCTGCCTTTTGATAATTTGTGATTTTTTACAAAAATATTTTTTGAGTTTCCATGGCAACAACTTTGACGGTAATCAATTAGGATTGAGATATGCTGATTTTTTTTACTGAGTTTGGTCAACAAGGTATGTGTCATTACGACTCAAGGGCGGGCAACTCTATCGTATGGCTAATTTTGTGGTACGATACGTGTGGAATATGTGCTTGACATCACTTCCTGTTTGGGATTATGCATAATCAGTATGTATACCACCTAGGTTAGGTCAAGAGACTTCGTCAAAACAAAAGGGTTCTCTTCTTATGTTCAAATTAAGGTAGAGGTAATTCCACTTCAAAACATTCATGAAAAATCATAAAAAAGTTAACGTGTATACCTCCGAGTCGCTGTGACATACAATGAGTCCTGTATTCAATCAAGCAATGAAATATCTGGCTTAGATTTGCATAAGTAAACAGTCGACAATGGAATACGAGATTTACTGATACTGTGGTAATATAGCATTATACTATACACCCACCTCTTTTGTTTCCTGATCTTCAATGATATTTTGTCCCAGGTGATGAGGGTAATGAGATCCTGTTCGGTACGTCAGATGGGAGAGTGGGGCTCGTACAGATCGGCACGTGAGTAGTCTTCTGCATCCCTCTACCTTGTCTTGTATGAGAGATGGGAGGGATCTAAGTGTGTTGTAATCTTAGTGAGTCATATTGTAACTGCTGTGGTTGAAATCTAACTGTGTTGTAATCTGTTTGTAATGGTGATTTAAATGTGTTGTACTCTGTGTGTTGTAATCTTAAATAGGCTGTTGTAATCTGAGGGTGTTGTTGTAATCTAACTGTGTAATAATTTAAGTGTTGTGTTTTAATCTGAGGGTGTTGTTGTAATCTAACTGTGTAATAATCTAAGTGTTGTGTTGTAATCTGAGTGTTGTGTTGTAATCTGAGCATGTTGTAATCTGAGTGTTGTGTTGTAATCTGAGCATGTTGTAATCTGAGTGTTGTGTTGTAATCTTAGTGTGTTGTTGTAATCTGAGTGTGTCCCCTGTTACAGACTGGCCCCAACCCACAGATGGGAGCTTCCCAATGAGAAGAAGAATGGAGGTAGGTCACCACATTAACAGTTCTCTTTCACAGAGTGTTAACAAAACATATCTTTTTTAACATGAAGTTTACATGATATATGTCATTTCCGTTGGACGAGAGGTTGGTCATATGATCGCCAAACCTTGGCTGACAGTGACAGTCAGCAACATTGTTGAACATTCCACATTTGAATGATGGACCAGTTTATCAATGATGACTATCACCTAATCGCCACTGCTTCATTGACAACTTCAGTAATCTCCTCCCATCATGTCGGCCATTACTGAGGTAGTTCATACCAGATATTTCTCATCTAATGATGATATTATATAAGTCTATTTGTTAAACCCAACTAGATTTTACTGTAGACATGGCATAGCAAATTTGAGCCGACATCATGACATCTCATTTTGAGGAACTATTTGTTTGCCTGATGCAGCTGGTTGTTGTATGGCTGCCAGTTGTGGAACTCAAACTTGAATTAATTTTGCATAGTGTCCTGATGATACTGCTACTTGTGTTGTGTTGTGGATGCTTTGTGTCGACACAATGTTGAGGTTGTGTCCTGGATATGATGTGTTGTAAGTTACTGTTTGTATTTGCAGGTGTGTTGAGTCTGGCCAACTATGACATCACAGCCGATGGCGTGCTGGACCTCCTGGTGGGGAGGGACGACGGTCTCGTGGAGGTGTACAGCTTCGACGAGGCTGAGGAACCCATCTGGAGATACAGCCATGTAAGCCACAGACATCTCGTAGTTGTCAGTCACGTTCGTCATTGTCTCACTGCCAGCATCTCGTAGTTGTCAGTCACGTTCATCACTGTCTCACTGTCAGCATCTCGTAGTTGTCAGTCACGTTCATCACTGTCTCACTGTCAGCATCTCGTAGTTGTCAGTCACATTCATCATTGTCTCACTGTCAGCATCTCGTAGTTGTCAGTCACGTTCATCACTGTCTCACTGTCAGCATCTGGTAGTTGTCAGTCACGTTCATCACTGTCTCACTGTCAGCATCTGGTAGTTGTCAGTCACATTCATCACTGTCTCACTGCAAGCATCTTGTAGTTGTCAGTCACGTTCATCACTGTCTCACTGTCAGCATCTCGTAGTTGTCAGTCACGTTCATCACTGTCTCACTGTCAGCATCTCGTAGTTGTCAGTCACATTCATCATTGTCTCACTGTCAGCATCTCGTAGTTGTCAGTCACGTTCATCACTGTCTCACTGTCAGCATCTGGTAGTTGTCAGTCACGTTCATCACTGTCTCACTGTCAGCATCTTGTAGTTGTCAGTCACGTTCATCACTGTCTCACTGCAAGCATCTTGTAGTTGTCAGTCACGTTCATCACTGTCTCACTGTCAGCATCTCGTAGTTGTCAGTCACGTTCATCAATGTCTCACTGTCAGCATCTGGTAGTTGTCAGTCACATTCATCACTGTCTCACTGTCAGCATCTTGTAGTTGTCAGTCACATTCATCACTGTCTCACTGTCAGCATCTGGTAGTTGTCAGTCACGTTCATCAATGTCTCACTGCCAGCATCTTATAGTTGTCAGTCACATTCATCAATGTCTCACTGTCAGCATCTTGTAGTTGTCAGTCACGTTCATCACTGTCTCACTGCCAGCATCTTGTAGTTGTCAGTCACGTTCATCACTGTCTCACTGCCAGCATCTTGTAGTTGTCAGTCACGTTCATCACTGTCTCACTGTCAGCATCTTGTAGTTGTCAGTCACGTTCATCACTGTCTCACTGTCAGCATCTTGTAGTTGTCAGTCACGTTCATCGCTGTCTCACTGCCAGCATCTTGTAGTTGTCAGTCACGTTCATCACTGTCTCACTGTCAGCATCTTGTAGTTGTCAGTCACGTTCATCAATGTCTCACTGTCAGCATCTCGTAGTTGTCAGTCACATTCATCACTGTCTCACTGTCAGCATCTTGTAGTTGTCAGTCACATTCATCACTGTCTCACTGGCAGCATCTGGTAGTTGTCAGTCACATTCATCACTGTCTCACTGTCAGCATCTGGTAGTTGTCAGTCACGTTCATCACTGTCTCACTGCCAGCATCTTGTAGTTGTCAGTCACATTCATCACTGTCTCACTGCCAGCATCTTGTAGTTGTCAGTCACGTTCATCACTGTCTCACTGTCAGCATCTTGTAGTTGTCAGTCACGTTCATCACTGTCTCACTGTCAGCATCTTGTAGTTGTCAGTCACGTTCATCGCTGTCTCACTGCCAGCATCTTGTAGTTGTCAGTCATGTTCATCACTGTCTCACTGTCAGCATCTTGTAGTTGTCAGTCACATTCATCACTGTCTCACTGTCAGCATCTGGTAGTTGTCAGTCACGTTCATCGCTGTCTCACTGCCAGCATCTTGTAGTTGTCAGTCATGTTCATCACTGTCTCACTGTCAGCATCTTGTAGTTGTCAGTCACATTCATCACTGTCTCACTGTCAGCATCTGGTAGTTGTCAGTCACGTTCATCACTGTCTCACTGCCAGCATCTTGTAGTTGTCAGTCACATTCATCACTGTCTCACTGCCAGCATCTTGTAGTTGTCAGTCACGTTCATCACTGTCTCACTGTCAGCATCTTGTAGTTGTCAGTCACGTTCATCACTGTCTCACTGTCAGCATCTTGTAGTTGTCAGTCACGTTCATCACTGTCTCACTGTCAGCATCTTGTAGTTGTCAGTCACGTTCATCACTGTCTCACTGTCAGCATCTCGTAGTTGTCAGTCATCCGCCCAGAGAGCGAAGGATGGTGGTTCAATTCCTGGCCGTATATTCATGTTAAACTGTGGCATGGTGTCCCAGTGGATCAGCACTATAAAACTGGTGTTAGTCCAGACCAGTACAAGCAGCCACGCACTCATGCATGTTGCTATGTAAGTGCAATAATCTTGAGGTATCACCTCACCTCGCCCGACTCACAGTCAAGAACCTTAAACTGCAGGCTGCACTTTTATTCTCATTGAAAGTTCAACTACCTGACCAACAGGTCCAGTTCTATTAACCAGTGGACTGACTTGAACAATTTGATAATAACATTTTAAGATGTCATTTCAATGAAAGTTTTACACTCAAATGTTGTATTATTATGTTTTCATAAATATTTCAGTATTATTTGTTTGTTTGTTTGCTTGTTGTTTAACACTGCACACAGCAATATTCCAGCTATATGACGGCGGTCTGCAAATAATCGGGTCTGGACCAGACAATCCAGTGATTGATATCATGAGCATCGATCCACATAATTGGGATACAATGACATGCATCAACCACGTCAGCGAGCGTGACCACCCGATCCCGCTAGTCCCCGCTTACGACAAGCATGGGTTGCTGAAGACATATTCTAACCCGGATCTTCAGGGACATATTTCAGTATTAACAAACCTCTAGAAGATTGTGTAGTATTTCAACATTACCAAAACTCAAGAAGATTGTGGAGTATGTGTTGGAATATTTCAGACTTGCAGTGAGAGCGTCACGTCGGTACAAGGGGGTGTGGTGACAACACCAGGATATGATGAGATTGTCTGCTCCACGTATGCTGGCAAGTATTTTACTGGTGCTTCATCCAATACAAACACAGGATGCTGCAGAATCCCATTATTTTGGATTTAAGATTCATGTTTTGTTATTTCTGTTATCCTGTATCCATCTATTCCCCTATGATTTTTATTTTGTTGGTTTATATTTTTTTTCAACTTTTGGCCATGAGATACTGCTGTGAGGCAAACATATAACATATATATCTGGAATACTACTTTCACGCAGACATATGATTAGTGTTTGTCTAGTGTGGTTTTGCTGAAATGTATGATGTATTGTCACTGTGTACATGGGGTAGGCGAAATAAACTATGTTCCTATTCAATTCATAAACGCTAGAGAAACCGTTACCATGGTTACAGGCTGGCTGTTTTCCCTCACATCGGCTCCATGTCACAAAGAAACGGGAAAAGATATGATGACATTTACTTCGGAAGGAAGGGACAAAATTGTGTCTCTGAGGTAACGCTGTTATGAACTTGGAGCCGTGGATGTTCGTTGCTTATGTACCTGTCCTAACTGCATGCTTTCGTTACAGACATTATGGTAATTGTTGATGGCATGATTTCTGTCACCAAGGGAACTGCATGATTTTAGAAATATGAACAGATGTTCAGCTTGCGTATTGATGGAGTCCCAATATGTCAGATATGAGATGTGGTTCAAAATGTTTTGTCACTTTTCAATTTTCCTCAACATTTGGATATTGTTTTTTTGTTCCACTTACACTGTTGGAAAAATAGATGATGTACACAGAGATAGGCATGAGATGTTTAGTGGAGAAGTCTCCCAGTGTCGGGTATGAGGTGACATGCAGGAATAAGACATTGAAAATCGCAGGGTGGATCAGAAAGCGACCAACCTCATTTGTGATATGATGTGAGTTATCAAAAGTACAGTAAACTACGGTTATAATGAACTCAAATTGACCACTAATTTTAGTTTGTTTGTTCAGCTCAGAGGTTAACAGTTTCTTATAAACATAAACGTGACAGAGTACTAGACTAACATCTAGTCTCTGAAATGAACATATCGTACAGAAAAAAACAGTTGTTCAGATACTGCAGTAATCTAGACTTGCCAAACATTATAGACTTGCATGGGCTAGATTTGATATACATTTGTATCAGGGTCTGTGAGACAGACTAACAGAGTACACTCGGGACCACATTGTGAGTTCACTATATCGGTTATTTCGTTATAAGAGTGTTCGTTAAATCCATCAATTTTATATGATAGACTATACAGCAAATACCCAGGACCTCAAAAACGGCTCATTATATCTGTCAATTCGTTACGTTTGTCAATTCGTTAAAAGTGTGTTCGTTATAAATGTGTATTGTGTTTCTCAAATGAGGATACGCCCTAGTCACTGTGCTTCACCATGTACCACAGTGTATCAGCTCCATGCTTGTCAGTAAGTGGGGACTGATCTGTGGATCGAATGGCCCAAATGGATATTAATGACAAACCCGTAGCTCATGCCTAGCTCATTAAAATCACTGTTTTTGTGAAACACTGTCCCAGAAATAAGTTGTGAAACTAGCTGTGTACTGCTTTACTATCTGACATTCACTGGTGGCTCATACATAATCTTAACCACACTTATGTCCTCATAGAATCTGATGCTCATTTTGTATCGACTGTCTTCATCGTATAAGTGCACTTTTAGAAGATGTAGAGGATATTTCATGTGTCGAGTGAATATCATGTATGTCTTCTTTACCCCATCACGAGGGGGAAAGGAGATATTTCACAAGACACATGGAATATCATATTTATTATATACTTTTTGTTGTTGTTGTCTACCAGAAAATTACACATGTAAAACCTTGAAACGTAATTCTCCTACCTAACACACAGGGACGTTTCACCACCCTTTGTAATTGCAACTTTGTTAGTTATGAGTTTGCAAAATCTTAAAAATATAAACCAAAAAAATAAGAAATATCTGAGGTCACATACATTTGGATATGATTATATACAAAATCCACTTTAATAAAGAATTCTTGGAAGCTACATTACCACTGTTGGAAGCGAAGGAATACACTTGCGGTACCAGTTTCAAACTTGCGACTTCCATTCGAGACTATGCTTTTTAAAGTATTTTGAATAAGTCATACAGTCCATAACAGTTGTTTTGTGTTGAGCTTTAGAGGTTGCATGATTAGAAAACATATTCCGCCAACAATGTAACATAACAATATGAATATTGTATTTTTATTTTTTTATTCCATGTTTTTATCGTTAACTATCGTGTAGGTGTCCGATTTTCGATCACGATTGTTGATACTACTATTCGTTAATTTCGTTTATCCGACATACTCGTTAACCCAACATAATTATATGCAACCCACAATGTCGGATTAACGGGACTTGACTGTATATAATAAAATGGACCCTTTAGATGCCTGCCTCGTACACCAACATATCCCGGTTGACAATGTACCAAGTAGCTCCCGAGCAGTATGTATCATCCATTATCAGTTGTGTAACTTGTAACTACCCCACCCAAACTTACAAGTCACATGGGTTACATGTCTGAATGGCAGATTGTCAGATTGAAGATTAGTCTTGTTTTTTTGTTGCCACAAAGTCTTTTCTTTTTGTTCTGATTTGTTTTATTCAAACAATCACTAATCATACGAAAAAAGAAATATTTGTATCAGAATTTCTGTGAATAAAACTTGTTGCGATAATTGCATTGCTAGACTTCAGTCTGACAGTCATTACATGCATGGGAATGGTGCTTATTACTCCAGTGCGCTTATGTGTATACACTTGTCCACAGTTATAACGCCAGCATATTGCATGTGCAGGTTGGGTGTTCGGTTTGACCTCTGAACCCCTGCTACGAGAGATGGGTGCCCGAGAGGTGGTCATCGGGGAGGCCGCGGTCACCAAACTCTCCCACCTCAAGTATGTCCGCTCCTTGAGCACAGAGTGCCGTTAGAGTAGTCTCCCCTGACTAACTTCACCCACCTGTGTGTAGCATCTTCTAACCCAGCTTACTGATCTCTCTGCTTCAGCAGCCTTTCTGTCAGGGTTCTGTTTGCTGTTATATCTAACCAGCTGACTGCCAGCGTGGGCAGAAACACTCCCCTCAGTCACAACCGTGTGTTTCTAACAATATATTACATTTAATAACACCTCTAAATAATCTCTAGCATGTTTCTTGAGCTAGTGTTTCTGTTTCAGGTGTTCTTACAGTTTATTTTCATGTCTCCATACTCAACTTTTTCTAATGTAACAAAGACAAGGGTTCGCACAGATTTGAAAAGTGCTTGAATTTTACCATGTCCAATAAAAGTGTTTGATTCTGCCCTTTTACCATTACAGTTCTTGAAAAATGCTGGAATATAAAAAAGGCGGTCAAGCTAAAATAAAATTGCTACTGAAAATTATAATCAGTCTTAGTTTTATTGCATTGTTTATTTCCTATTACTTGCAACATAAAATGAAAGACTCTTCTGTCTATTATTGGTTAATTCCTTTGCGTATTGTATTACTGAATATTGTTTAATTAATGTTATGAGCGGCACTTGAAATTCTAGACTGGTTCCTGTCCTGCCACAGACCAAGTGGAAGATCCGGGAACCAGTCAAATTGTGGTTAAAACATGAGGAAGTGTGCTTTTTTATCGCGCTTGGGTTTAAAAGTCCCAATGGGAGTGCGAACCAAACGACAAAAACAAGGCATTGTGTTACTGCTGCAGGAAGGAACCTAATTTTGGTACAATGGGGGAAAGTGCACTAAAGTCACACAGACAAAACAGTCATTACCAGAAAAACTGTCAGTCATTGTTGGGATTAAATCTTTAGGATTTAGGTGTTTTTACCCGAGAAAAGCGTCCTTGTTTTTCTTTGAAAAGTGCTTAAAAGTGCTCCAAAGGTCTGTATGAACCCTGAGACAGATGTGTACCCTTCCCTTACATCCTACACACCAATACTTTATGTACTGAATGATGTTTGCACCATGTTTTGCGTTGCTTGACCTGTAATTTGCACCAGATATAGACCCACTCACACTTTACACGCCCATTTCCTTGTTAATTTCATGGTATTATTAGCTCCCCGGGACCAAAGGTCCAGAGAGGCTTATGACATTCTCCATCGTCAGTCAGTCAGTCAGTCAGTCAGTCAGGAACTATCTATTGGGTATCTGAAACATTGATATGATGTGTAGCAATACAGCAGAATTAAGATTTGTTCATGGCAGTTCATTTGAAAGAATCAAAGATTTCAGAACATCAAATGATTTGAATACAGAATACTTTTATCAGCACTAGATTTTCATGATGTTGCTTGCATGAATTTTTGATGTGAGAAAACTTCAATAACTGAATGACCACATTATAGGAGTGATATCTTTTGTATGTCTTTGTATCACACACCTGCACTGTTGTATCTGTGTATTACACACCTGTACTGTTGTATATTTGTATCACACACCTGCACTGTTGTATCTCATATCAAACACCTGCACTGTTGTATATCTGTATTACACACCTGCACTGTTGTATATTTGTATCACACACCTGCACTGTTGTATCTCATATCACACACCTGCACTGTTGTATCTCATATCACACACCTGCACTATTGTATCTTTGTATCACACACCTGCACTGTTGTATCTCTGTATTACACACCTGTACTGTTGTATATCTGTATCACACACCTGCATTGTTGTATCTCATATCACACACCTGCACTATTGTATCTTTGTATCACACACCTGTACTGTTGTATCTCTGTATTACACACCTGTACTGTTGTATATCTGTATCACACACCTGCACTGTTGTATCTCATATCACACACCTGTACTGTTGTATCTCTGTATCACACACCTTCACTATTGTATCTCTGTATCACACACCTGCACTGTTGTATCTCATATCACACACCTGCACTGTTGTATCTCATATCACACACCTGCACTATTGTATCTCTGTATCACACACCTGCACTGTTGGATGTCTGTATCACACACCTGCACTGTTGTATCTCTGTATCACACATCTGCACTGTTGTATCTCATATCACACACCTGCACTATTGTATCTTTGTATCACACACCTGCACTGTTGTATCTCTGTATTACACACCTGTACTGTTGTATATCTGTATCACACACCTGCATTGTTGTATCTCATATCACACACCTGCACTATTGTATCTTTGTATCACACACCTGTACTGTTGTATCTCTGTATTACACACCTGTACTGTTGTATATCTGTATCACACACCTGCACTGTTGTATCTCATATCACACACCTGTACTGTTGTATCTCTGTATCACACACCTTCACTATTGTATCTCTGTATCACACACCTGCACTGTTGTATCTCATATCACACACCTGCACTGTTGTATCTCATATCACACACCTGCACTATTGTATCTCTGTATCACACACCTGCACTGTTGGATGTCTGTATCACACACCTGCACTGTTGTATCTCTGTATCACACATCTGCACTGTTGTATCTCTGTATCACACACCTGCACTGTTGTATCACGTTATCACACACCTGTACTGTTGTATCTCTGTATCACACACCTGTACTGTTGTATTTCTGTATCACACACCTGTACTGTTGTATCTCTGTATCACACACCTGCACTGTTGTATCTCTGTATCACACACCTGTACTGTTGTATCTCTGTATCACACACCTGCACTGTTGTATCTCTGTATCACACACCTGTACTGTTGTATCACGTATCACACACCTGTACTGTTGTATCTCTGTATCACACACCTGCACTGTTGTATCTCTGTATCACACACCTGTACTGTTGTATATCTGTATCACACGACGGTAGTGTTGTATCTCTGTATCACACACCTGCACTGTTGTATCTCTGTATCACACACCTGCACTGTTGTATCACGTATCACACACCTGCACTGTTGTATCTCGTATCACACACCTGTACTGTTGTATCTCGTATCACACACCTGCACTGTTGTATCTCTGTATCACACACCTGCACTGTTGTATCTGTATCACACACCTGTACTGTTGTATCTCTGTATCACACACCTGTACTGTTGTATCTCTGTATCACACACCTGTACTGTTGTATCTCGTATCACACACCTGCACTGTTGGATGTCTGTATCACACACCTGCATTGTTGTATCTCTGTATCACACACCTGCACTGTTGTATCTCGTATCACACACCTGCACTGCTGGATGTCTGTATCACACACCTGCATTGTTGTATCTCGTATCACACACCTGCGCTGCTGGATGTCTGTATCACACACCTGCACTGTTGGATGTCTGTATCACACACCTGCATTGTTGTATCTTGTATCACACACCTGCACTGTTGTATCTTGTATCACACACCTGCACTGCTGGATGTCTGTATCACACACCTGCACTGTTGTAGCTCTGTATCACACACCTGCACTGTTGTATCTTGTATCACACACCTGCACTGCTGGATGTCTCTTATCCAGGAATGAGGTGGACAACCTGCAGCAGAAGGTTCTGGATGAGAGAGAGAAGTACCAGCAGACGGCCTTCTCCAAGGATGCTGTGTCAGCTGTCCCCATCTTCAGCATCAACGACAAGTTTGTCCTTAATTGCGAGGATGCTAGCTACTCCCTCAGCTTGGAACTACAGATGCCCATCGACAACGTGCTGCTGCAGGTGGAGGGCCTTCATTGTTTTTGGGATGTCTCATCATGCAGACATCATTGTTGTTTTCAACTTCCGTACTAGTGTCAAATTAAGTTCCTAAGCGTAAATGTCAAGTATTAAATGTATTCAACAGTTATTTGAATATTTGTACATTTAGTGTTAGCAATGATTAGGGCATCAAACTTCTGCTTAACATCAAGGGTCAAGTATAATGTATAATCTTTCACTTTTCTTATTTTTTTTTATTTCTCCATGAGCCAGACCATTATTTTTTAATTGCCTTGATTTATTCAAGTTTAGTTATATAACAACTGTATGATAACAATTTTTCTCACACTCTGTATTATAAGAAAAAACAATGGCCTTGCCTAATGTGTGTTAATGTTGACAGAGTGATGTACCGATTGACCTCCTGGACGTTGAGAAGAATTCTGCTGTGGTCAGCTACAGTGCCTGTAATCCAGAGGTCAGTCCCCCCACAGTTCCCTGCACTCTCCCCCCCCCCCCTGCTTCCTGTGATTATAGGGGCACAGGGAGCACAGTTATCGAGGACACTGTCGTGTTGATTTGCAGAGTTGCATCCCTTAGGTGTGCAAGGACCCTATGAGATGTTTAATTACCAAAGTAGATCCAAAAAATAACATGTTCGCAGAAATATGGCTCCGACAGGTGTTGATGATGAGGTTGTCGCAGGCCATTATGGAACTTCTATTTTTGAGTACTATTTTGATGTTGAGGTCCAATTATGGACGCTTATGCTTTGATACTAAATTTCAAGGTTTAATCATTAAACCATACAAATGCAAGCATGGTTGTTAGTATCATCATACAAACATGGCAGAAAGGTGTCCAGTGTGATGCATGTGTACCTGGAATACTGTTGAAAGTGGCATTGAACTCACTTTAATAATGTACTTGAAAAGACCATTACTCCTCTAATGCTGCAGGGGCGGTCGAGTAGCTTAGTGGTTAAAGCGTTCGCTCATCACGCCGAAGACCCTGGTTCGATTCCTGACATGGGTACAATGTGTGAAGCCCATTGCTGGTGTTCCCCGCTGTGATATTGCTGGAATTTTGCTAAAAGAGGCATAAAACCATACTCACTCACTGTAATGCTGCACATGAATCGTGATCGAAATAGCTTCCTCACTCGTTCACAACTGTATGACACTATCAGGTAACTGTTTCTTGAAATTTACCTACATGGATATTTGGACGTAGTTTCCTTGCAACGTGTAAGAAAGAACATGGAACTGCCGCCATTGTTAATGTCTAATCTACAGACAATAATAATGATTTCTCTTTTATAGTATGCAAAAAGCAAGCCATAAAAAAATTCAAACTGGATCTTCCACTGTTAACTTTTTCCTTTTTTCTTCCAGGAAGGTAACTTTCTGTTGGCAACGTACAGATGCCAAGCCAACACGACCCGTCTGGAGTTGAAGGTCAGGTCAATTGAAGGTCAGCATGGGACACTGCAGGCGTACATCACACCCCGCATCCAGCCCAAGACGTGCCAGGTGAAGCAGTATCCCATCAAACCCCTCTCCCTGCATCAGCGAACACACGTGTTTGACACCAGTCGGTGAGTGTACCTATGGTTGATGTACAGAAGACACCTTGTTTGTTTGTTTGTTTGTTTGTTGTTTAATGCTGCTCTCAGCAATATTCCAGCTATGTGACGGCGGTCTGTAAATAATCGAGTCTGGACCAGGCAATCCAGTGATTAATATCATGAGCATCGATCCATGCAATTGGGATACGATGACATGCATCAACCAAGTCAGCGAGCCTGACCACCTGATCCAGTTACTCGCCTCTTACAACAAGCATAGGTTACTGAAGATCTATTCTCTACCAGGATCTTCCCGGGAGTATTTTTTTTTTGTCTTGAGGGTAGAGATTGAGGAGGAAATGAAAGGCAAATTATTGATGAATAGTCAGTGATGAGGAAAATGTTGAGTTCAACAACATTAGACCTAGGATAGTTTTTGAAACTGTCCCATTATTTTTGGTTACACTAAAGTGGTGGAAAAGGTGACTAATGGAATCAGCTGGTCAGACTCGTTGACTTGGTTGATGCATGTCATTGTATCAATTTCGTAGATCGATGCTCATGATTTCATTCACTGGATTTCTGGCCCAGAGTCAATTATATACAGACTGTATATACAGCTGGAATATTGCTGGGTGCAGCGTAAACAACAAACAAACAAACACTAAAGTGGTAAACATTTCTGACTTCCATCAATTTGAGACGTCCTCCTTCCATGTAAAACTGGCTACGATCTAACTGAAATACTGTTCCTTGCACTAAACCTGAACATACTTAAAGTATCTATGTTGTTTTATCTAACTGTGTCTCTAGTTAAGGTACAAAGTAAGAACAGGAGGAAGGTAATCTCAGGATATGACAGGTTCAGAGGGGCATCTGTGTAAAACATGGACCGGTACAATTTGTAAATGTCAGGGAAAAGTGGGGTTATTTTATGGCTGTATATTAACAGCAAAGGTGTTCTTTCCAATGTGAACTGCTTTCATAGAAGGTCATGAAAATAGGGACTTAATGGGGGAGTATCACAAGATATATAACATACTTTAGGGGATAACCCAACTCACTCCCTCACTCAAATATATTTTGATGTCTGATGCATACATCTGGGTGAGATTGTTTGTCTGGAGTATTGTGATTGCCAGTGTTATGTTACAGGCCACACAACAGCCTGACCTTGACGGGACAGTTCAGTCTAGCCGAGATACACTCCTGGGTGTGCTTCTGTCTGCCCGAACTTCCCGACCGCACCCCTGCTGGCGACAGCGTCACCTTCCACTTCGTCTCCACCTTCCTCAGCACCCAGCTGGAGTGCTCGTACAGGTTGGTATACTTAAGAAATAAATGACAAGTGGTCGTTGTTAATCGTACAATAAAACACTGCAGGGAGAATAAACCATGAGGGGTGCAGTCGTTTGTTTTTTATTTGAGATATCATCATTATGTACAGCCTCTTTAAGGATGTTGATAAAGTGTGCAAGCTTTAAAAAAAGTTGCCTAAATTTTATTAATGATGACTCCCTGAATAGAATCTGACCTTGGAAATGTCGGACAAGCTCATTTTACGAACAGGCAGGTTAAGTTTGGTATTTCCTGCATATTCTCACAATTCTCACATCGATTATCTGTCCCTTTTCTCCTAATATCGATTGTCGTATGCGATCGTTCAACCTCTGCGTTTATCTGCGTACCCCAGCTACATCTATGGGGAACAACTAACTGGACACATCCCTCATCAAATATATTATGTCATCACATTGCGAACAATGTTTTATCATGAAATAAACCATGCTTCATTCTTCATTGCTCTTTGTCATGTAGCTATCATATATTATATACTAGCCACATAAAGAAACTGTGCACGGAGAAAATATATTCTGGATTGAAATACAACACAGCAAGTACAAAATGATGCAGACGCTGTAGCAGCTGAATGATCGGACCATAAGAAAATGTCAACGGGACCTGAACAACATCTGTTACGATGACGTCAGAAGATCAAAATGGAGTAGGGAGTCAAACGACAAAGTCACAAAGTCAATAACGGGTATGACCACCCTGTGCGTGAATCACAGCAGTGCATCGGCGATGCATGGAGTCCACTAAATGGGCATGGAAGGCCTGGGGAATGGCCTGCAATATCCTCCTCAAATCCTGTGCCAAGTCACGGACGTTATCTGGAGGATGTGGAAGACGCCGCAGACGGCGCTCCATTTCATCCCACACATGCTCTATTGGGGAGAGATCTGGAGAAATTGCAGGCCATGGCAGTAACATGACATTGTTATAGTGAAGGAAATCCATTGCGACCCTAGCCGTGTGAGGACGAGCATTGTCCTGTTGAAATGTCAATCCCGGGCCATGACGTTGCAGGAAAGGAATGACCACAGGCCTCAGAATCTGATCTCTGTAGCCAACACCGGTGAGATTGCCCTGAACAACCACCAAAGGGGTTCGGTGCCGTGCTGTTATCCCACCCCAAATCATCACAGAGCCACCTCCAAAACGATTCCTCTCCACAATACAGTTGCGTGCATAACGTTCTCCCAAACGCCGGTAGACACGTTGGCGCCCGTCACTGTGGGAAATGTTGAACCTCGATTCATCTGTAAAGACATTTCTCCACCATATTCGAGGTTGGCGAACATGATTTCGACACCATCTTAGACGGTTGACTCGATGACGGTGTGTCAGGATGGGACGTATGGCAGGGCGTCGTGGTCGAATCCTGTACTGACGTAAACGATTCCTGACAGTGTTGGGATGGATACGGCGCAACCAGGAATTGTCTGGGACGTCGTTACTGCCGTTTGGAACCTGTGTCGGAGATGTGTAACTCGAATCCATTTGTCCTGTCTTGGCGTCGTTACTCGGGGACGTCCTGAACGTGGGTGGTCGGCAACGTCATTTGTGTTCTGATAACGCCTCACCAATGCTGACATCCTGTTACAATGGCATTGGAAATGTGTTGCCACCTGTTGTTGCCTCATTCCCGCTTGAATCATTCCAATGGCTTCATGACGCTGTGCAGCTGTCAATTTTGGCATGATTTGCTTGTGATTTGCTTGTGTCTGCGCCTGAGAAGTTTTGAATTTTTGAATGACCACAGATCATGCTTTCCAAAGTGACAGCGAATTTTGAGTTGCACATGCTGTGTACAGCTGCACAGGATGCACGTGCAGTAACACATTGCATGTCCATAGGCCCCCATCAATGACGTCATATCGCATGGCACGTGCATGAGCGTTTGAATGTCTCCAATAATTGCTGTGTTCAAACCTATATTTCATATATGGACGGTGTGCCCTTATATCTATTTTTTCTCCGTGCAGTTTCTTTATGTGGCTAGTATACTATATGCTTGACTATGGAAAAGGATCTAAACCGAAACGTCACCTTTACAGTAATTAAAGAAGTTGTTATCAATAAATTGTGTCTACTTTGAATGTGTTGATGTCTGCAGGAAGGGGGAGGCCGTATTCAGGTCGGACAACATCTCCACCATCTCCATACTGAAGGATGTGCTGTCTAAAGAAGCCACCAAGAAGAAGATCAGGCTAGACATTACATATGGTGCGTATCTCCTGGCATAGTAGTCAATCAGGCTAGACATTACATATGGTGCGTATCTCCTGGCATAGTAGTCAATCAGGCTAGACATTACATATGGTGCGTATCTCCTGGCATAGGTAGTCAGTCAGGCTAGACATTACATATGGTGTGTATCTCCTGGCATAGTAGTCAGTCAGGCTAGACATTACATACGGTGTGTACCTCACAGCATAGGTATTCAATCAGGCTAGACATTATATAGAGTGCATATCTCCCAGCACAGGTAGCCAATTAGGCTAGAGATTACATACGGTGTGTATATCCCATCATAGGTAGTCAATCAGGCTAGACATTACATACGGTGTGTATCTCCCTGCATGGGTAGTCAATCAGGCTAGACATTATATAGAGTGCATATCTCCCAGCACAGGTAGCCAATTAGGCTAGAGATTACATACGGTGTGTATATCCCATCATAGGTAGTCAATCAGGCTAGACATTACATACGGTGTGTATCTCCCTGCATGGGTAGCCAATTAGGCTAGAGATTACATACAGTGTGTATATTCCATCATAGGTAGTCAATCAGGCTAGACATTACATACGGTGTGTATCTCCCTGCATGGGTAGTCAATCAGGCTAGACATTACATACGGTGTGTATCTCCCTGCATGGGTAGTCAATCAGGCTAGACATTACATACGGTGTGTATCTCCCTGCATGGGTAGTCAATCAGGCTAGACATTATATAGAGTGCATATCTCCCAGCACAGGTAGCCAATTAGGCTAGAGATTACATACGGTGTGTATATCCCATCATAGGTAGTCAATCAGGCTAGACATTACATACGGTGTGTATCTCCCTGCATGGGTATTCAATCAGGCTAGACATTATATAGAGTGCATATCTCCCAGCACAGGTAGCCAATTAGGCTAGGGATTACATACGGTGTGTATATCCCATCATAGGTAGTCAATCAGGCTAGACATTACATACGGTGTGTATCTCCCTGCATGGGTAGCCAATTAGGCTAGAGATTACATACAGTGTGTATATTCCATCATAGGTAGTCAATCAGGCTAGACATTACATACGGTGTGTATATCCCATCATAGGTAGTCAATCAGACAAGAGAGGCGTACACTGTATATCTCGTGTTTCAGACGTGAGTGATGAGTCCATTCCCCACACCTTGTCCCTCATACATCCCAGACTGGAACATCAACTCCTGCTGGCAAAGAAAGTTCAACTCGTTGATGCACTCAAGGTAGGTAATTCAGGGTACAAAGGGAGATCCCCCACTTTTTGGGGTGTTTTCGTGACTCAGTAGTGTGCAACTCTATCAACTACCACTACTATCAACTGCCCCCAACTCTCAACTCCCCTTTTATTCCATGTGTGGATCCCAAACCAGTGGCAGGAAGAATAAATGTCCTGTATTCACCATTGTAGGAACTGGCTGTCCACGAGAGCGACACAAGTTTCCTGTCAGCCGAGTATCAGCAGATACTGAAGGAGGCAGACCAGTTGCAGACAGAGTACAAGAAACAGCCCTGTCACCTGGAGAGGTTGTACGGTAGGTTTCACGCTGTGGTGCTATATTTCTGGTGATGGTGTTTGAGGTGGTGATATATTTGAGGTAATGATATATATTTGAGGTGGTGATATATTTGAGGTGACATATTTGAGGTGACAATATATATTTGAGGTGGGGATATATTTGAGGTGGGGATATATTTGAGGTGATGATATATATTTGAGGTGGTGATATATTTGAGGTGATGATATATATTTGAGGTGGTGATATATTTGAGGTGACAATATATATTTGAGGTGGTGATATATTTGAGGTGATGATATATATTTGAGGTGGTGATATATTTGAGATGGTGATATATATTTGAGGTGGTGAGATATATTTGAGGTGGTGATATATATTTGAGGTGATGATATATATTTGAGGTGGTGATATATTTGAGGTAATGATATATATTGGAGGTGGTGATATATTTGAGGTGACAATATATATTTGAGGTGGTGATATATTTGAGGTAATGATATATATTTGAGGTGGTGATATATTTGAGATGGTGATATATATTTGAGGTGGTGAGATATATTTGAGGTGGTGATATATATTTGAGTTGATGATATATATTTTAGGTGGTGATATATTTGAGGTGACAATATATATTTGAGGTGGTGATATATTTGAGGTGATGATATATATTTGAGGTGGTGATATATTTGAAGTGACAATATATATTTGAGGTGGTGATATATTTGAGATGGTGATATATATGTGAGGTGGTGAGATATATTTGAGGTGGTGATATATATTTGAGGTGGTGATATATATTTGAGGTGATATATAGTTGAAGTGATGGTATATTTGAGGTGATGATATAAATTTGAGGTGATGATATATATATGAGGTGATGAAATATATTTGAGGTGGTGTATATTTGAAGTGATGATATATTTGAGGTGATGATATATATTTGAGGTGATGATATATATTTGAGGTGACAATATATATTTGAGGTGGTGATATATTTGAGGTGATGATATATATTTGAGGTGGTGATATATTTGAAGTGACAATATATATTTGAGGTTTGGATATATTTGAGGTTTGGATATATTTGAGGTGGGGATATATTTGAGGTGATGATATATATTTGAGGTGGTGATATATTTGAGGTGATGATATATATTTGAGGTGGTGATATATTTGAGGTGACAATATATATTTGAGGTGGGGATATATTTGAGGTGATGATATATTTGAGGTGGGGATATATTTGAGGTGATGATGTATTTTTGAGGTGATGATATATTTGATCTTATGTTATATTTGATCTGACGATACATTTGTATATTTCCCAGGAATGATCACAGACTTGTACATTGACAAGTTTAAGTTTAAAGGTCAGAATGTGAAGGGCAAGGTCCCAGCCCTACTGGAAGTACTTGACACTTACGACCTTGAAGGCCTCGTGCAGTTCTTTGAAAATTCTGCCTGATTCCTGATGAGCTCTGCAGGAACATGTGACTGGCATCTCACTGAAGACAAACTGGATTCAGAAATGTTAGAAGTGGAAGACAGATCAGACTTCTCGGCATTGTGGGATTCTCATCATCAAGCCCAAAATCTCAATATGCATTTTCGCTAGTTTTGTATCATTTATTTGTTCATTATGTACTGGTATCTACAGCCATGGGTGCTGTTGTACGAATCAACCTTAGCACTACCACTGTCGTAAGTCTATATTAAAGTATGAGTTACGATCACCTTAGCGCTAAGATTGCTCTGTACAATGCACCCTGGAAGATAAGCATCTTGGATGGATTGTGCGAGTGCATTCAATGCTTGTATCGTGAGGCAATATCTGTACTGTGCATGTGGATCCAGAATGGGGTGGGTGCACTCTCTCATTTGGAGTATACTTATCATGTTGACATATTTAAAACAACTAAATCATTTGTTACATGTTTTCAACAAAAATAACAAATATTTAACTAATATTGGGCTTACAAACTCAAGTTGTTTCGCAAAATCTGTGCCGGCGTTTTTTGTATTTTGAGTGCTTTTAGGACTGTAATAATACTTTGTCAAAATATGATAGATTTGTCACTAGGCTGTGATACAAGATTTAAAGTGATTGAGTATGGTATTATGCTGCTTTTAGCAATAGTCCAGCAATATCATGGTGGGGGACACCAGAAATGGGCTTTACACATTGTGCCCATGTGGGGAATTGAACCTGGGTCTTCAGTGAGACGAGCGAACGCTTTAACCACTGGGCTACCCCTACTTGCATTTGCTTCATACAAAATGGCGGTGCCCAGTCAAGACGATCTGATCGATAATCAAGAGTTATATTTTAATAAAACAGGTCTTACCCCACGAAGTGCTTCGAATTACTTGAGCAATGTGATTAAAAACATGAAATGATTTGCAAAATATCTGTCAACGCCCAATTGACAGTACACATGCTCTGCAAATCTTGCAATCAACTGAAATCTGCACGGCAGTTTACGAAACTGATTTCGTCACTCAATTTTGATTGGACTATGCATAGACTCATTAGTCCAGCCAAAATGTTTGGCAAGGGTGGAAACTGGACTTTTATAGTCAGTTACCTCCCTTGCCTCGGGAAGATGGTGGCAGTGCCACTACATTGACATGTATACAACAGCAGTTTATCATTGTGTATATGCAGCAGAATATGAAAACATTCCGTCCCTTGTTGTGTTACTGTTTGTTTGTTGTGATTGAGATTGCGATGACGAGTACTTGATGTATGCTCTGGGAAACAGCAATAAAGTGCAACCTGCACATGCTTGTATTTCAGTCCTACACTCCCCTGATTATCCCCCCCTGGATATAGCGATCATGTCCGCTTGTCCGTCAACCGTCCATTTACCCTTTCAGGAGCAGAACTCGAACACCGTAAAATATTTCTTGTTGAAACTTTCTATATTGATTATTCTTGTGGGGAATTACTGCCTTTTGATGATTTTGGATTTATTCTTTTCATTTGTTTTGTTTTCATGATTTTTTTATGATGAAAACAGTTTTCTTGTTTAAGGAGGAGAAGTCCAAAACCTTTAAATATTTCTTGTTGAACCTTGCTATATAGATCAGTCTAGTGGGGAACTGGTGCCTTTTGAGGATTTGGGATTTATTCATTGTTTTATCTAATTTTTTGGCATGACGACAAGTTGGACTTAGAAATGGGGGTGGTGCTCGTTTCCGGAGCAGAACTCTAAAACTGTTGAATATTTCAAGAAGAAACTTGGTATACAGATCAGTCTAGTGATGAACTGGTGTCTTTTGATGATTTGGGATTTTGAAAAATACTGAACAGAATTATATTTTTCCTCACTGAACTGAAGGTATCCAACAGCAGTGAACCAAAAGTTGGGTATAAGTAGCCAACTTTATGTCTCAATTGCACCAGACCGGGGGATATGTCATCTGCTGAGGACTCATTTCAGTCCTAGCTACTGTAGACTCCCCTGATTTCAGACAAAACATTTTGTCCATAGATGAATATATTATATATAAGGCCACAGTTAGTTATAATTTTGTTTTTAGATTGTTTTCCTTGAACTGACGATTGTAAGAATGTTGTGAGTGAGTGAGTGGGGTGTGACCAAAATGAGATGAGAAAGGTTAGACAGTAAGCACATTTTTTAATATAATTTTTTCTGTTCCTCCCATTATCCTGGAGTTCATGTATTCATTGTGAACTTACTGTCCTAGGCTGGTTTGCTGAATTAGTAACCATGAGCGAGGAGGGTTCACTGGGGTTCTTTGTTTTTCCTTTAGAGTGAGTGGGTGAGTGAGTGAGTGAGTTTGATTTCACGCTGCTGTTAGTAATATTTCAGCAATATCACGACACATTGTACCCATGTTGGGAATCGAACCCGGGTCTTCGGCGTGACGAGCGAACGCTTTAACCACTGGGCTACCCGACCGCCCTGTTCCTTTAGAACATTGGTACTTTACTTTCTGAGACAATTTGTTGAAAAAACTCATGGAAATCATCAGAAATCTTCTTAAAGATTTTAATAAATTTGGAAAAAGGAAGCAGTGTTTTCGCCAGATTTCTGCACAATTTATTGAGGTTGATGGCACAGACTTAAAATATATATCAGTACAGTATTAGGATGTGATATGAGAATGAGTGTGAATGGTGATGTCGTGACTGCACCCTGTGAAACTCGTAGACACACTACTGTTAATGTTCTGACGTTGTTGACGACATCTGTGATATGGGGAAAACTCTTGAGTCAATAAACTTGATATGATATTTTCTAATTGTCATTATTATTATTATTATTAGACATTTTTAGGACAGATATTCAAGAGAGATTTGATTCAGACCTCCTTGAAGGCTTGTGTGCCCAATATTGCTGCCACAAAAATTTGTCAGTGGCACCGGAAGTGACGCACCGTAGCACGAGTCGGCAGTATGACTCCTCACAGAAACATCAGCGGGAAGCAAAATGGGATGGTGGTGCTAGAGCAGCCTCACCGATAGGGGCAGGGGTGGTCCCTGGCAGAACACACAGTGGTCCGTTGTTTTGGGTTTTTTGTTTAACGCCATACTCAGCAATATTCAGCTATATGACAGCGGTCTGTAAATAATCGAGTCTGGACCAGACAATCCAGTGACTGACATCATGAGCAACAACCAAGTCAGTGAGCCTTACCATGGAATCCCGTAAGTTGTCTTAGGCGCCTTTTACGGCTAGCATGGGTTGCTGAAGACCTATTCTTCCCCAAATCTTCATGGTGCAGGGGTCCGTTGAGTTGGTGTTGCTTGTCCTGAGCAGTCCCGCCGGCAGAGGCCGAGGTGGTCAATGGCAGAATACACAGCAGTCTGTTAAGTTGGTTTTAACCAGTCTGAGTTGGAGTCCTGTGGGTTCAAGAAGCTTGTGAGGGGGCACGGGTGGCCCAGTCGTGTAAGGCGCCGCGATTCGCTGTGCAGAGTTGCGTCCCCTGGGCACGCCAGAAACCTATGATTGTGGGTTCGAATCCCGGTACGCCCTGATTATGTTTCTAGGTTTGTCAGCCCCATACCCGTGATCGTGGGTTTCACCGAAGTGGTAAACGTCTGAGACCTGCATCACTTCGGGCTTTCCTCCCACATCAAGCTGACACGCCGTGATATAACTGGAATATTGTTAAAAGCGGTGTTAAACCCAACTCACTCACTCACTCACTCACTCACTCACTCACTCCAGGAGCTTGTGTACACTGGTATACAGGTGCAGGTCCACACTGGAGCCCCAACTGATACACACAGACTTTCTTGGTGAAGAGCTGGTAACATGTATATCACAGGTTGGTTACATGTATATCACAGGTTGGTTACATGTATATCACAGGTTGGTTACATGTATATCACAGGTTGGTTACATGTATATCACAGTGTGTCACCTACTTGTGGGAGGAGCGCCCAGTGTTGCTGGTCTTTGACGTTACCACTGAGGTGAAACCCACCAGCACCTGCTTGCTGAGTCAACTTTTCATGACCTCCCCCTGAATCTCACAGCACCCCCAACCACCCTGTTAATAAAATCAGAATTTAAACCCATGATTCCAAATCCCACCTATCTTATCAATGAAGGGACCTGTGCAGATCTGAGTTACAATAGATCTTCAGCAACCCATACTTGCTGTAAAAGGCGACTATGCTTGTAACCCTGATCAGGCTCACTGACTTGGTTGATGCATGTCATCGTATCCCAATTGCATGGATTGATGCTCATGATATCAATCACTAGATTGTCTGGTCCAGACTCCATTATTTACATACCGCTGTCATATAGCTGGAATATTGCTGTACCCTGTTAAACAACAAACAAAATACTAATGAAGGTCCTTGGGCCAAGTGATACACATTTGGTCTGTATTCATGTAGCAAGTGTTTGGTGTAAATATAATTCAGGCTCGCTGACTTGGTTGATGCATGTCATCATATCCCAACTGCATGGATCGATGCTTATGATGTCAATCACTAGATTGTCTGGTCCAGACTCGATTATTTACATACCATTGTCATATAGCTGGAATATTGCCGAGTGCTGCTTAAACAACAAACAGAAAGTACTACCTCAGGACAGACTGTTCATTCCAAGCTAGCAAGAGGCAGTGGTAATACAGCCCACATGAATGTTTTCAAACTGTTGGTGACGTCAGGAGATCGAAAGTGCTGAGAACTTTCATGTTAAATTACCAACTAGAGTCATGTTTTATTTGTCTGTTGTTTGACGCGGAACTCCGCAATATACCAGCAATATGAGGGCTGTATGCAAATACGTCTGGACCAGACAGTCCCATGATTAATATCATGAGTATCGATCCATGCATTTGGGATAGGATGACAAGCATCAAGAAAGTCAGGGAGCCTGACCACCCGATCCCGTTAGTCGCCTCCTACCACAAACATAGTCGCCTTTTACGTCAAGCACGAGTTGCTGAAGACCTATTCACTACCGTTCTTCACAGCATACAGACGGGTAATGTTTCTCAATATCTTATTATTAAAAATTTAAGCACGAGAGAAGGTGTGTGTTGCCACAAGTGTCAAACAAAGACTTTTTCAAGAAACGTCATATTTTACAACTTTATCCACAACAAAAAACAAACAGGTATGAAAATAGCACATACAACTGGTACAACTGTAACCAGAGAGATATCATTTCTATAACTTTGAGTTGGCTGGTTTGTTGTTTAACGCCGCACACAGCAATATTCCAGCTATATGGAAATATCTGTAAATAATCGAGTCTGGAACAGACAATCCAGTGATTAATATCATGAGCATCAACCCACGCAATTGGGATCGAAGGCATGCATCAGCCAAGTCAGCGGGCCTGACCACCCGATCCGTTGGTCGCCTTTTACAACAAGCATATACATTTTGGGTTGCTGAAGACCTATTCTACCCCGGAATCTTCACGGGTCCTATAACTTTGAGGGGCAGAGGGGGCACAGTCGCCAAAGGCCATCAGAAATCTGTAATCGTGGGTTCGAATCCTCGCTTGCCAAAATTATGTTTCTAGATCTGTCAGCCCCATAAACGTGCTCGTGGGTTTCACCAATGTGGCAAACGTCTTTGACCTGCATCACTTCAGGCTTTCCGCCCACAATGAGCTGACACGCCGTGATATAACTGGAATACTGTTAAAAGCGGCGCTAAACCCAACCCACTCACTCACTCCCCGCCCACAATGAGCTGACACGCCGTGATATAACTGGAATACTGTTAAAAGCGGCGCTAAACCCAACCCACTCACTCACTCCCCGCCCACAATGAGCTGACACGACCTGATGTACCTGGAATATTGTTAAAAGCGGCGCTAAGCTAAACTTACTCATGCGCTCACTAAACACGATCAGTCAAATAATTCCATTCAATTTTTTGTAAATATAAAGTATTCTAACCCAGAAAAAACGTGATTACGACATGCTGTTTGTCAAATAGTGTCGAGAGTTCCCACGCTGACCGGAGCTGTCATTATGCAACAATGTAGCGAACAGCGATCGTGGTACATAGCTCTGTCAGGTACATCCTTCAAACACCTACCCCCACCCCTCAACCCCTCCCCTCCCCTCCCCACAACCCCTCCCCACATCCTTTGGAAAGAAAATCAAACAAAACACACTAAATATTAATGTATTGCGTAGTGAGTGTTGGACGTTGAAACGCAAAGCTCAATGACAAACGAAGTTGATTGGCGACGCTGATTGAGGTGAATAAAACAACTCCACAGAGTTCGACGTGACGCAGTGGGTGTTAAGGACGCGCGGGTGAAGAGCGCGTGACCAACCGCTGCCGTAAAGGGAGATCTTAATTTACACCCACCCAGTTTGTTGGCAACTTTTCTGGGAAATAACGTATTTAAGGTAACGTTTGTTTCGTCTCTCCAATTTTTGTTTCGACTTGCAGTGTAGGCACGGATCGTGTATTCTGTGTGTGGCTGACGCTCGCCCCTGCAATCGGTGGTAGTGCTTTGTCATTGTTGTACATGACCCGCCATCGACGCGGAGCACGGGGAATGCGGACCAGTTGTCTTACATAACAGCCGCTATAGTTAGACTCGGGTCGTTGAAAAGTGTGACCTGAACGATTGTGTGTCATCTCATCAAGGCGCCGTGGATCTTTACTCATGATATCAGCCACTGATTTGAATAGTCTAGGCATGGTTATTTATACTGCCCAGGTATAGCTGGGAAATTCCTGACTGCGGCGTTAAACTACATTCAATCACTTATGTCATGGGTCTTCGTCCGTCTGTTATTTGTTTGTTTGTTGTTTAACGCCCCAGCCATCAATATTCCAGCTATTCCAGACGGCGGTCTGTAAATAATCGAGTTTGGACCAGACAATTTAGTGATAGACATCATGAGCAGCAACCCACGCAATTGGGATACGATGACATGCATTAACCAAGTCAGCGAGCCTGACCACCCGATCCCTCTTACGACAAGCATAGTCGTCTTTTAGGGCAAGCATGGTTGCTGAAGACCTATTCTACCCCGGATCTTCACGGTTGTTGAAACCCGAACATATCAATATCATTCACATAACGTGTTCTGTACCCCTGGCAACAACCAAATGGTAACTGGTGCTTTTTATATATCCGTGAAGATCCGGGGTAGAATAAGTATTCAGCAACCCATGCTTGTGTGCGACTACGCTTGAGTTGTCGTTTGAGACAACTAATGGGATCGGGTGGTCAGGATCGCTGACTTGGTTAATGCATGTCATCGTATCCGAATTGCGTGGATCGATGCCCATGATGTCAATCACTGGATTGTCTGGTCCAGACATGGCAATTTACAGACCGCCGTCAAATAGCTGGAATATTGCTGAGTGTGGCGTTAAACAACAAACAAGCAAACAAATAAACCTTCGATACTCTGGCCGGAAGCTCTAAATCTACACTCGGAGTGAGTATGTGAATTTGAGCCCAATACAACTCTAGCAGTATATGCCTGTAAGTTGTGGCTGCGGAAACACTTCACAATATTATCTGAGTTGATTCCGATTCGTTTCCTGTCTGGGATATAAATATTTCCGAGGTCACTAACTCCTAGAATATTCAACATATGCAGCACACTGTGTTACACGCTTTGTAGATTCAAAGGAAAATTCTAAACTCAAATATCCCTTTTAAAATATTTTAAGCCTAATCTTTATGTGGGCTATATCATAGTTAATCTGCCATGGACCGATTAGGTTTTATACCACGAGCCGGAGTTGATCCTGCTACAACGAATTTATCTCATCAACATGTTTCAATGTGAGATAAAAGTAAAAGTATTAACACAACTTTAAAATTGATAGAACACAGCTGTTGATTCAGAAAAAGCGTGCGGCTTTTTGCTTTGAAGCGGGGTATAAGGGATTTATTCTGCCTCTCAGTAATCCACGTGCAGCCTGTATTACTCGTGGCGGGGTATGAGATTTCTTCCCCCGCTGAGAAATTTATTACCCTCCAAGGCGAGTTTCTCAGTATTTTATCAAGATTACGTGGACCAATCAGATCTCATCATTCTAACATGTAGGTATGATAAGCGTATAGTTACTGGTTGAACCGCCCAGCCCTAGCACAGATTGGAGCATCTTCATAACAAAATCGGATCTTCATTAACTTATTTTGAGTAGTATACGTTAAGGGGACATTCCTGTTTAAATTTATCACCAGTTGAAGATTAAAAGTAATTTGAAAGAGAAATTCCGATTATTACGTCACTTTTGGCATGTCTTGAAGTAGTGATAAAAACAGCATTCACTCTCCAACAAAATCAGTATAACTCTTCGGTGCCTCATGCACCAGTGCGTGTCGTGTCGAAGACATTCACCACGTTGTTATGCAGCCCCGAGCAGGGCTATGGCGTTTACAGGACTAGGAGTGAGTGAGTATGGTTTTACGCCGCTTTTAGCAATATTCCAGCAATATCACGGCGGGGGACACCAGAAATGGGCTTCACACGTTGTACCCATGTCGGGAATCGAACCCGGGTCTTCGGCGTGACGAGCGAACGCTTTAACCACTAGGCTACCCTACCGCCCCTACAGGCGTAGGATCGTAATCGTGGTGAATATGGGATTCGAAACCTCGCTGTTTATTCATCCACATCGGGCAAATAACATGGTTAGGTTGTAGGTGTAGTGGGTCAGCCTGCTTAAAAAACACATCCCGTCTTCACTTCAATTTATTTGAGACCGCTACCGTGGTCTAGTGGTAGAGCGTCTGCCCAGAGAGCAGAAGGTCATACCAAAAGACGTTAAAAGACGAGACTTGTTGTTACCCTGCCTGGCGCTCGGCATTAAGAGTGTGTAAAGGCCATTTCTGGTGTCCCCCGCCGTGATATTGCGTGAAAAGCGGCAAAAGCATACTTACTCACTCACATTTTGCCTGCTAGTATTGGGTTTGTTACATATACTACTAAAAAGAAGTTAAAGAACACCCGATGCTATTTCATATAACTATAGTTAATCTGTCATGGACCGATAAGGTTTTGTACCACGAGCCGGAGTTGATCCTGCTACAACGAATTTATCTCATCAACATGTTTTAATGTGACATTGTAAAAGTATCAACACAACTTTAAAATTGATAGAAAAACAGCTGTTCAATTTGTGCTGTGTCACGTGACTTCCACTGACGCGGAAAAAGCGTGCGGCTTTTTGCTTTGAAGCGGGGTATAAGGGATTAATTCTGCCTCTCAGTAATCAACGTGCAGCTTGTATTGCTCGTGGCGGGGTATAAATTTATTACCCCCCCAAGGCGGGTTTCACAGTAGTTTATCAAGATCACGTGGACCAATCAGATCTCATCATTCTAACATGTAGGTATGATAAGCGTATATAGTTACTGGTTGAACCGCCCAGCCCTGGCACAGTTTGGAGCATCTTCATAACAAAATCGGATCTTCATTAACTTATTTTGAGTAGTATAAGTTAAGGGCACATTTCTGTTTAATTTTATCACCAGTTGAAGATTAACAGTAATTTGGAAGAGAAATACCGATTATTACGTCACTTTTGGCATGTCTTGAAGCAGTGATAAAAACAACATTCGCTCTCCAACAACATCAGGATAACTCTTCGGTGTCATGCACCAGTGCGTGTCGTGTCGAAGACGTTCACCACGTTGTTATGCAGCCCCGAGCAGGGATACGGCGTTTACAGGCCTAGGAGTGAGTGAGTATGGTTTTACGCCGCTTTTAGCAATATTCCAGCAATATCACGGCGGGGGACACCAGAAATGGGCTTCACACATTGTACCCATGTCGGGAATCGAACCCGGGTCTTCGGCGTGACGAGCGAACGCTTTAACCACTAGGCTACCCTACCGCCCCTACAGGCGTAGGATCGTAATCATGGTGAATATGGGATCCGAAACCTCGCTGTTTCATCTACATCGGGTAAATAACATGGTTAGGTTGTAGGTGTAGTTGGTCAACCTGCTTAAAAAACACATCCCGTCTTCACTTCAATTTATTTGAGATCGCTACCGTGGTCTAGTGGTAGAGCGTCTGCCCAGAGAGCAGAAGGTCTGGGGTTCGACCACCAGCCGCGTCATACAAAAAGACGTTAAAAGACGAGACTTGTTGTTACCCTGCCTGGCGCTCGGCATTAAGAGGAGTCAGTATACTGTGTCTGAGTGCAGTATTCATGTTAAACTGCGGCATTGTATCTTAGTGGGCTAGCACTATAAAATCGACATACACGCACGAACGCACGCACGCACGCACGCACACGCACACGCACACGCACACACACACACACACACTTACACACACTATATATATAAGTGCTATCATCTTGAACGCCAAGTTAAACCCAATTTCACCCCACCTTCTAGTTAGATGGTGCCAGCCAACTTGAGACCAATGTCAGTCACCGTCACGTGACCCACGTTACATAGTGACCGATTTCACTGGCTATGGAATTCGAGGGATTCGAAAAAAATATGGTTGAATTTCAATAAATGTTTACTCAGACATGTCACAGTTCATTACAATTTGACCTTGCATTTTTAATGTAGGCTTTGAATCAACTTGACCTGTCAAAAAGAAAATTTGATTGAGCTTATTCAATATATCATCACCTAATTCTATTGAACCTTTGTGGGACCAATTGATATAATATTCACATGTCCTCATAACTCGTTATCATTGATTGATTTGGCTCATAATCAAACTTGATCTTTGTTAACATAAGCCTTGTATATATAAAAAAATAATTATCTGTTTGTAGTGTCATTAGTTGCCAAAGGTCCTGCATAATATTGGTCTGTTAAAATATCCATTTCCAAAATTCAAGTCAACATCTGTTAATACATGTACTTGCTTGGGCTAGCTCCTACGAAAACCTGATGATGCCATTTTGGTACCATAATTTTATTTTTTCAAATAGAAAATTTCTCTTTCTTTTTCAATTATGACCTCGCTACTGCGAGTTTATTTCAAAAACTTGAAATGTCGAATTTTGTCTCGTTATCTCGAAATTTATTTTAAAAACTCGATTATTTTTTTTTAACCCTTTATTTCAATATTTACTTGACTGTTTTCTTGTCAGTTCACGTTTGTTTCAATAACTCGAAATTTCGAGAAAATAATTGAAAAATAGAGATCATAATCGAAATAACGAGAAAAAGATCGAAATTTCGAGTTTATGGAATTAACGAGAAAATATTTGAAATAACGAGAAAAAACTCGAAATTTCAGGATTTTGAAATAAACTCGAAATAACGAGAAAATAATTGAAATAACGAGAAATTTCGATTTAAAAATAAAAATTATGGTACCAAAGTGGCACTATTAGGCTTTCGTAATCTCCAGCCTTATTAGGCATCCATTCCCATTATCACGCGACCTCTGAACTCGTTGACAGCACTTGACTTATTTGGTGATGAGGCCTTTAACGTATCAAGTATTGACTTCAGTTTCCGGTCCGGTGGAGGTTTGGCGTTGCCTGTGACAATACTTGAGTCATACCACAGTGTGACAGGGTCATTTTAGAAAAAAGGTGAACATCAGTACTCGTCGTAGACATGTTACATCATGGAGATGGTGCTAACAAACCAAATCATGAACATGAGAGTGAGTGAGTATGGGTTTACGCCGCTTTTAGCAATATTCCAGCAATATCACAGCGGGGGACACCACAATGTACCCATGTCGGGAATCGAACCCGGGTCTTTGGCGTGACGAGCGAACGCTTTAACCACTAGGCTACCCGATCGCCCCCATGATCAGGGTCAAGGGAAACCCAGACAATTGTTTGTCACTATTGACACTATTTCTGAAATATAACAGTGAGTTTGGGTTTAACGCCGATTTGAACACTATTTCATTTATATAACGGCGTGTCATCTTGATGCTCGGGGAAAGCCGGAAGTGACGTTCCCACGTTGGTGAAACCCACAAGCACCGCATGGTTCCTGATGAACCCACAAACATGATAAGAGCGAGTCTGGGATTTGAACCAACGACCAGAGGTTCCTGTCATTCCTTAGGCACGCATCTCAGTACACCCGTGCTCCCCATTCGTCACCTTTCCCCCTCTTCAGTAAACCTACACGATTCGGCTTATCCCGGAACGACAGGCGTTGGTTGACAATTCCGTTTCACAGAATATAATACAATTTAGATTGTAGACATATGTGACCAGCCATGAGATAAGGGACCCTAAGGGTGGAAAATCACATTTTGACTTTTCTTTATATTTTAATATAACAACATTTTCGGAACACAAAATACAATTTAAAAGCTCTTCAATTCATACTTAATACAGAAATACATCACATCGCACATATCGATCATCAAAGTTCAAAGGAAGTTGACGTCAAACGTCTTTATGGCGCCATAGCACAATTTTATTCTTGCACCCATAAGGTCCCTTTTCTCCTGGTAGGTCGCATAAGTTTTTATATCAATTCAATTTGTTTCAGAAATGAATCCTGAATCTGATTGGAATTGGCCTGTGTGTCCAAAATGCAGCAAACCATATCATATGAAGACTCATCTCAAGTTCTGCCACCCGACTTCATCGGAGGCGAATATAACAAATATGCATTTGTCTGCCAGACAGGAAATCGTTCATTTCAAAAACTGTCGTATGATCACAGAAAACACCGTGGTAGAGGCCGCTACAGAAGTTGGATTCGAACTGGATGCGTTGCCGAAAGTTGTTGCGTTGCTGAAGCATTTTGGCCACCACATTTCAAAGGAAACTGTAACCACAACCTCAAAAGGTTCCCCTGAAGCCATAGAATCACGATCAGAAGAAGAACAAATTACATCAGACACTAATCTAAATCACGTTACTCCTCGAGACAGTACAAGTCCCATCCCTCCTGAAGAACATCATTTAGAACAGTCAACAAGAACAAGAGGCAGTAAGCCTGATGAAGAACGTGGAGGAACAAGAGCAACAAAGAGGAGTTCCAACCAATGTGAAGACCATTCAGCAGAGAAGTCAACAACATCAAGATGTTTTAACCAAGGTCCTTCAAACAGAGGACCAAGCTCAAATAATCCGCCAAGTGAAACCATAATGGACGAGGAATCCCCATTGTCTCACGCAGAGGACCTGGTCATCAATGGGCCGGAAGATGACGATGCTGACATCAATCTTCGAAAGAAACTGAAACGTAGTTTCCTGTATAAGGCTTTCCCATATAATGAACCTGTCATGCAGTCATTTAAGTCCTACTTGTGCCAGTTTAAGAAACACAGTGCACGGCATGCAGTCAGGGTTGTTGCTCGTGTTTCGCGATACTTCTTCTATATGCAGAAGAAAGCTTTTGGCGAAGTATGGCCAAGTAAGTTTACGCTAAAGGTGCTAAAGCACAGGAACGACTCTGCAACTTACATACAAGAGCTATTTGATGCGGGTATTTCTTTAGATGTAGTTAGAAGGTATTTAGGATCTTTAAAATTATTCATGGATTTTTTGGAAACTTTATCTGAGGGCATGCAAGTAGCAAGAGATCTGAGGTATTTTCGTGCGTCCATAAATAAGGTGATACAAGATGTAAGAAATGGTCGCAGGAAGACTGTTCTTGATTCCACGGAGGACAAAGGGGATCTGTCTGTTGTACGTCAAGGGTACACTTCCTCTGAGGTGAAGCAGGAAGTTCACCGTATCATCCAAACTGCAAAAGATGTTGACCTTAGTATTTGGAGTGAAAGCACTTTGGGTCTGTCAATCCTTGAACGACGCCTGGTCATGAGATACATTGCTTGTGGGATCATTCAGCTTGGCTTATTTCATCGGCCATGTGTACCTGTGGCTATGAAATTGTCAGATTTCGAAGGAGCTAGAAATGTTGGCGACAGATACATCATCGTCGTGTATGAAACCTCATCGATTCTGTGTTTAGACCTCGAAGAGTATAACCTATTCAAAGATTACCGAAAATATATCAGGGGGACGTTGCAAGAGGACAGCAACCCCCAGATGTCATCATTCTTCAGATTGCCGAATGGGCAACCACTGGCGAATCCTTTGAAGGAATGCAGTCGTTTTCAGGCTTTCTTCGGCATTGTCCGTTGCCTGGCAAGAGATGGTGAGCGTCTAGGGTACACCGCCGTCAATGCACGAAATGCTTTGAAATCTATTATGACAAATGAGGTCTACAGACACCCTGATTTCAATCTGATTTCAACCTACATCGACCACTGTGAGAAGTTTAAGTCCCTAGGAACGGAGAAAGACGTCCTGAAAATCCGATTCATCCTTGACCAGATCACTGCAGCAAGTCTGAAGAAAAGCAATAACCTCTATTCATTCTCAGCACCTGTCTCTCTACCCTTTAAGACATGTCTACTGCGGAAGGTGTGTACGCCTACTGTCTCTGTGGATGAGGAGAAAGAGATTTCCGAGTCATCAACATCTCCACGGCAATCAGCCCAGCCAACAGATTCATCAGGCGATGAACAGACCCCATTGTCATCTCCCTTGAGGTCAGACCTGATTCTTGGAAATTCTGACAAACCTGAAAAATCACCCAACATGGAGGAAGATTTCCAGGAGTCATTTTTGCCGATGTTGTTATCAGATGACGAGGGTGAGACGCAAGACCTGTCTTCTCCATTGATCAAGTATGTCGGTGTTGTGAAAAAGGATCCAGAACTGTTTACTATATCAACAGACTCATCAGATGACATGGAGGAAAGCCAAAATCTATATACACATCCTCTACGGACAGACAAGACTTCGGGGACTGGTCAACCAACAAATACATCCGATTCTGATGAACATTACTTTCAAAAGACATCTACACCGTGTATGTCACCGGGTGGAGAGGAGGAAAAGACAGAAGCATCTTCTCCACTGATCAAATACATTGGGCCTGAAGAGCAGATCCCTGAGCTATTTTCTTTGCCAACAGATTTAACAGATTCTGAGGATCATATTTCATGGCCGTTCGGTCGACCCGAAGATTCAGTAGATGACGAGAAACCAATGACATCAGACTCGATAGAAAGCAAGGATTGCTTTCGAAAAATATCTTCTCCAGACCACAGAGATTCTCCAGAGATGTTTAGTCCAGATCTGGCGAATTCAGAAGATGCTGAGGAAAATGCAGGACACTCTGTTCGTACAGATTGTGTTGATGGTTACAGCAATGACAGCGCTATCTTGAATCTTAAAATTGATGTTAGCAGTGATGGAGATGATGAGTCAGAACCGTCCCCACCACCGCCAAAGCGGGGCCGGATGATAGGGAACAGACAGGTTGAAGACAAGACAAGTGAAGGGTTGCCCGTTCCTTCCATCACTGGACTTCGGGCAAAATTCTGTGAGGAGTTTCCTCTCAGGCCATACGGCCCTGTTCCTTCCGTGAAGGCGGTAACAGGTTTTCTAAGAGACCATGGCGTAACCAAGGATGTTGTTCAGGCAGCGTATGCCGGGAACTACACGACCATGTGGCGGGTCAAGCAGCGGGAATTGGTTGTGTACCTCACCTTAATGCAGTGGCCCAGAAAACCATCCCTAGAGGAAGCTAAGCAGCTACTGAAGGAACTAAATGTGAAACTACTCCCATCGCGAGTATTGAGCCTTTATGATGATTTCCGCAGGAACTTGAAATGCTCATCTTTGTCATAGACATCTAGCATTGACGGCATTAGTCCAAGACGTGTTGCCTAGGGTACAGGCATCTTGGATTGACGGCATTATTCCAAGACGTGTTGCCTAGGGTACAGGCATCTAGCATTGCCGGCATTAGTCCAAGACGTGTTGCCTAGGTTACATACATCTAGCATTGACTGCATTTGTCCGTGACGTGTTGCCTAGGTTACAGACATCTTCCATTGACTGCATTAGTCCATTGCATGTTGCCTAGGTTACGGACATCTTGTATTGACTGCATTAGTCAATGGCGTGTTGCCTAAGTTACAGACATCTAGCATTGACTGCATTAGTCCATAACGTGTTGCCTGATTACAGACATTTTGGATTGACTGAATTAGTCCATGGTGCGTTGCCTAAGTTACAGACAACTTTACATTGACTGCATTAGATCATTGCATGTTGCCTAGGTTACAGACATCAGCACTGACTGAATTAGTCCATGGCGTGTTGCCTAGGTTACAGACATCTTTGATTGAGTGTATTAGTCCATAGCGTTTCATGGTTAGTCCGACTGCATGTGTGGCATCAGTCGAAGACGTTTTCCACAGAAACAGCCATATGCGGTTGCTGCGTCAGTCCATGACGTATGCTGCACAGATAGATCTACAATCCTACAGCATGTGTTGCATCAGATGCGTGTTGCATTAAAGAATAAACGTGTTGTTGAGACTTAAGTTTTCGTTTTTAATGATAATCTGTTCCATAATATTTCATCATTCTAGAGTATAACTGTATATGTGGAGAATCTGGGACATGATGTAGGTACATACATGTGCGGGCGCCCGACCTATTTTACGAAACGATTATCAGATGTGTGACGTGAACATAACAGTACTTTTGCCTGGCTGTGTGTGAGTGAGTGGATGAGATGGTTTTACGCCACTATTAGCAATATTCCAGCCATATCACGGCGGGGGACGCCAGAAATGGGAAATGTTCATAGCTTTCGCCCATGGGAGCCGTGTCAATTTTGCACTTGTCAGAGGGGTACACAAAATATGTGATGTAGGATACCAGTTGTCGGAATTTCATTTTTTGTGGAAGCCTTGGTCGCTGAGTGGGTTAGATCGCTGACTTCGTCTGCTGGCGATTAGGTGCCTCTCTCTGGCAGTGTGGGTTCGAATCCTGGACGGGATTCAACAGTGATCTTAGTTGATCTGATTTTAATGAGATTGGGTATTATAAGTTACAGTGAACCGCACTTTGCATGAGATCTTAAGGGCCGTTTTATAATAAGTATATCCATTTTCACTTTAATATTGTGAGTGAGTGAGTTGGGTTTAACGCCGCTTTTAACAGTATTCCAGTTATATCGCGGCGTGTCAGCTTAATGTGGGAGAAAAGCCCGAAGTGATGCAGGTCTCAGACGTTTACCACTTCGGTGAAACCAACGAGCACGGGTATGGTGCTGACAAACCTAGAAACATAATTGGGGCGAACCGGGATTCGAACCCACAATCATAGGTTTCTGGCGTGCCCAAGGGACGCAACTCTGCACAGCGAGTCGCGGCGCCTTAGACGACTGGGCACCCGTGCCCCCACTTTAATATGGAACACGAGCTACATATTTGACAAATAAACCAGCTAATTCTATAATATCCTCGATCTATGGTATCTGTTCTCAGTTCTCAGGTCTCAGTTACCGCGCACCATTAACTTCAAATTTAACTCGACCTGTATGTACTCTGAAAAATAATGGATTGCTCAAACAATAGAATGACGTCACAAATGTGTTTTGAACCGCAAAAACAGAAGCAGTGGCTTAATTTGACTAACATATAGCCTATGAAATCTTACATAATACACTTCTCTCATCTAAAGGGGGCACGGGTGGCCCAGCCGTCTAAGGCACCGCGATTGGCTGTGCAGAGTTGCTTCCCTTGGACATGCCAGAAACCTATGATTGTGGGTTCGAATCCCGGTTCGCCCCGATAATGTTTCTAGGTTTGTCAGCTCCATACCATTGCTCGTGGGTTTCACCGAATTGGTAAACGTCTGGGACCTGCATCATTTTTCTCTTACATTAAGCATACACGCTGTGATATAACTGGAATGCTGTTAAAAGCGGCGTTAAACCCAACTCATCCATTCGTCACCACTCGCCCCTTTCCGTAACCTGGCTTGTCCCGCAATAACACGAGTTGGTCACGAATGCCAACTCATCCACTCTCTCCTCTAAAATTAAAACAAATAATTTTCATCATTCTGATTTCATGAGAATATATATGTGTGTGTGTGTGTGTGTGTGTGTGTGTGTGTGTGTGTGTGCGTGCGTGCGTGCTTGTGTGGACAGATCACTGTATCTGAGCTGACAACGCGCACATGTGAACTTTGCCCCCCGACCTCGGTGAACATTTTGCAAAGGGTATATCAGAACAGGAAGGCAAGAGTCAAGATGAGCGAGGTTACCGGGTCTTTTCTTCGTGTCGAGAATCTGTTATGGCCTGGAGTGGTCACCCTTATCTCGGGAATGCAGCTGGGTAAGTTGTCACGCAATGTAATTTTACTTATATCGATGTACACGACTCGTCTTCTGCTGGATTTTGCTCGGGACATCAATGGATGCGACCGTGTTGCTGGCACGTTTCAAATATCACTCGGGCAGACACAAGTCCATGCTATGCGATAAGGGAGAATATACTCCAGAATCGTGTTCCAGTTGTAAATGATAGTGTAATTACAGTAATCACTAACTGCTTCATTGATATACTTGAATAGATTGAGTCAGCTTACAAGACAATATATGTTGAATGGCTTGAACCAAACTTTGTAGGACCCCAGCAAACGTTGGGTTTTCGTTGCTACAACGTTGTGACTGTACGTTGTCACAACGTAAATCTGTAGGCTCCCAGATTGGGTGCTACAACGGTGTGCGTAACCCGAAATACAACCAAATCAAGACGTTGTCACAACGTCCGTTTCTTACGTTGTTACAACGTTTATCCAAAACGTTGCGACAACGTTTCTCTCGCATACATATGGGCGACAATACAACCAAGGCTGAACGTTGTTGCAATATATATATATTCTGGCAAGACGATATTATTCATCACCCATACCATATTTCCTTGGAGTGACTTCAACCACATTTGATGCTAAAGTAGTTTGGATCGATTAGAGGTGTTCTTGGTAATACTCGTGTGGTTGATTATGCGTTTGATGTTTTCTAAAGAATGTGCAAATCATGTATGTAAGTCACTTTTACACCACCCTGATTCCCCTAAATTGTAATAAATGGATAACTGATATGTTCCTGCATCTGCCTCTGAAACAAATAAGGTTTGACATAGGGTTTTCTGGCAAATGAAAATAAAACAGGAATTAAAATTCATAAATTTAATTCATTGAATATTGAATGTCTTTGGAGTCTTTATTTGTTCCTGTAGATGATCTCTGCACTATAAAATAACGTAAACAGTCTACTTGTACGACAAGTATAACATTTCACCTTACACATAAATATACTGTATTCATAATCATGGGAATTTCCCAAACTTGTACAGTACTTGAAACTTAAAAGGCGACTATGCTTGTCGTAAAGGGCGACTAACAGGATCGGGTGGTCAGGCTCGCTGACTTGGTTTATACATGTCATTGATCCCAATTGCGTGGATCGATGCTCATGATCTGGTCCAGACTCGATCATTTTACAGACCGCCGTCATATAGCTAGAATATTGCTGAGTGTGGCGTTAAACAACAAACAACAGCAAAACCTGTGTTAATGCAAAAAGCATATTTAAGTCAATTCTTATAAATAAATGTCAACAATTGACGTCACACACTGATTATCTATTACACACAGAAATCTAGAGACAGCAATACGAAATCTGTGACCAATCTCATTAAAATCAGATCTTAGTTCTCGCTGCCGCTAAACAAAGATCTGAGGACATCCCATTACGGGTCGTGTCAAATTGACCTTTCGCAAACTCTGACCGACCAATGGAATTACTAACAAGAAGTCAACATTAGCCAATCAGAAGGCAGCTTTCTCGTGCTTTACGGCACTAATTTCAAATTGGCGACTACGCATCGAAAGATATTTTGACAAATTCTCGCTTAAAAATTTGAAACCTGAACAAAAGAACGTTCTAGAATGGCTAATACATGGTCTAGATTGAAAAGATTCAGTTGTTAAGCCCGTAACTATCGTTCAGAATACCCCGTTTTAACGTTTTCGAGGCTGCATCATTAGAAATCACATTCCGGCTGTCACTTTCATGATCTGCTAAGCGACGCTCTGATTGGTGGGATGAAAGGTCATTCTGACCTGGCCCCTAATGGGATGTCCTCAGATCTTTGTTTAGCGGTAGCAAGAACTAAGGTCTGATTTTAATGAGATTGAATCCGTGACGTACAGTCCGGCACTTTTGCAACACAAGTAGTCCAGTAACGGGCGTGGTCTTATTATTTTTCGGTTGATGGAAACAGAAGTGAAAAGTTATATGCTCAGTTAACCAATGAAATGCCATGGACCCACTTGATATTTCTTCATCATAATATATTTTTCACATAACATTAACGTAAGACGAGGGTTAGAGAAATACCACTTCTTATGGTGCATTTCCAGAAGCATATGACGTACCTATGGTATCCTCTGTATCTAATACAGAAAATATTTCACATTTAATCCTGAGGTCCAACTAAAATATGCCTGTAATACACTGGAATTAGCATTTTGCTGTCAGGATCCCGGAAGTGAATTGAAAGGTGCATTTCGAGATACTTATTTCAGAAATAGATTGTTTTATCATAACCTCGTCGGCATATAGGTACAATGTGACAGTACATTCAATGACAGAAGTTTTGTATCGTAAATGAACCGCATATCATGAAACACAACAGAGTACTGTTGCAAATTTGCTCAGTGAATGCATGGCTTGGCGAACTCGAGGTCGTTGATCATGTTTATTTCACGTTTCATAGTGGTGTTTGCTGCACAACGCACTGTCGTTTTGAGTCCAGTTGACAAAAAAAACTTTTTGTGCTATGATTTTCATCTAAACATATTACGATGTAAATGAAATTAGTTCACAAAATAACTTGTGTGTCAAAATAAATATTCAGAAGGGGTGATAACTCTATTCAGTGTGTACAATGACAGATGATACTTTACTTGTTCTTCAAACATCACTTATTTAACCGATTATTACCGATTGAGATTGCACCGTGCACAACAAAAGTAATAATGTGTGAACTGTTTAAAATAAGTTAAAAGGAAACTTAAAATTGATAAATATAAATAATGCATGAAATTGAAGAAATATAAGAATTGATACAAACACCAACTTCTTGAACATCCTGACCTAATCCTGTATGATGATAGGTAATTGTATATCAAAAGGAAGCTACTAATACATTTATCCTGAATAGTTTGAAAATGTCTAGATCAGATATGATTACAGATAAAATAACAAAAGATGAATAGGAATCAACTTCAATTGGAAATCAAGCCAAGATAAAACATATGTATTGGTACAAGTTATGTTGATGGAACAATCTGAATTTCTCATATTTAATAAAGAAAAACAAACCGAAATTTCCATGTCTTGGTTTCTCACAATATAAGTTTTCAAAACTTAACATGGACCGGGTGTCTTTGTCAGTCAAAAGCACCTAATTAAATTCCAGGAGAAAATAATTTTCTTGCTTGTAAACAAATGGTACAATGTACTTTTTTAGTGTCTGATAAATATTGGCCATTTTGTTTTGTGAGTGAATAAGGCTTTTCACTTCCTCGTCCTATTTAAGTGAAGTGTGACAGGAAGCACATTTGTTGATTGAATGATTATGGCTTCCGCGTCCTTTGACAGGACGCACATTGTAACCAGTGTATTACTGTCAACAGAAAGCTCCTCCAGATATCTATCACCGGATACTAGTACTTTATTGTGTTGACTCGCTGGACTCAAAGCCTGAAATGAATAATTCAATAATACGGTATTGTTATATTTCTACTGCCAAAATTTGTTTTATAAACAATGCATATACACCTTCTCTCAAAATATTGCTTATTTAGAAAACAACATTCTTCTGAAATAGAGACATTTAAGGAAAATTAATCACAGTGTGTAACATTACATGCTACTTTAGAACAATCTTGAAGGCATCAATTCATCTGGGTCAATATCAGGGTTCAACAGCTGTGGTCACCGTAACAAGATATATTCCTGAAGATACTAAGCAAGCTTTAAGATTCCCAATATGGGTTTTGACGATGGAAACAGTTCCAAAAGCAGGAATAAGTTAAATAAGGGACATGTCACTGTTTTAAGCAAGCAATGTTGCCTGAATGCGAACTCAAGGTATGAAAATTTCAAATTACTATGTAATAAGACTCTTCTAATTGTACCTACATCTTAATTGTTACTCGTGGTTCATGTTTACAAGTTGTCCATGGAGGCGGGATATGATAGCACACATACATACAGGAATTCTCACGTTTACGAGTAAGTGAGTATGCTTTAACGCCGCTTTTAGCAATATTTCAGCAATATCACGGTGGGGGACACCAGAAATGGGTTTCACACACTGTAACCATGTCGGGAATCGAACCCGGGTCTTTGGTGTGACAAGCGAACGCTTTAACCACTGGGCTACCCGACCGCCCCTCTTGCGTTTACAGCACAGTGCGCATGAACACACATAGAAGACCCATGCCTGGGGCAATTTGTGTGAGTTGTTTAGTTTCTGGAAACTATCAATCTCTGTCGTACATCACACATGCGACGTGTGAGGAGTGATGCGAGTTATATTATGACCTAAACAAAATAGATTCCCTTTCGACCAGTAACAGTCTTACTCACGCCTGCAAAAATGTTTGGCTGTAATTGCTGGTGTCACTATCTGTAAACAGCTTCGATGCTTGTCGTAACAGGATCGGGTGGTCAGACTCGCCTCATGGTGTACAACCTCCTTGAAGATCCGGCTTACACTTGGTCTTTAACAACACATGCTTGTCGTAAGAGGCGACTAACGGAATCAGGTGGTCAGGCTCGCTGACTAGGTTGATGCTTGTCATCGTATCCCAATTGCGTGGATTGATGCTCATGATATCAATCACTGGATTGTCTGGTCCAGATTTGATTATTTACAGACCGCCGTCATATAGTTGGAATATTGCTGAGTGCGGCGTTAAACAACAAACCAACCATTCAACCAAACAGCTATGATGTAATGCTATGGAAGAAAAGCAATGGCAGTTAATAAACTGTATTTGAAATATCAAATTAAAATTATAAGATGTAATAAGTTTAATATTTTTCACCGTAACGTAAAACGTTGTTATGGAGGGGGGCAATTGCGTTCAGGTATATTATTCATTATATTCAAGGGATGAAAATCCTAATGCCAAATATATTTGATCGTAATGATCTGTTTTTCTAAGAAAATAAAGTTGATGTTGATGAAAGTCTCCTATTCCTATGACTATCGCGAACCAAACTGCATGAGGTCGCAACAACACTCCAGAATCATTGTTACTTAAATGTTGTGTGATATCACAAACACAATGTTTTCACATCAATATGCAACATTGTTATTACGTTATTAATGTTACACATAGACATAATAATAACATTGTGACAGTGTTATATCACAAAGTCACCAATCTACAACCTTACCACAAGGTTGTGAAGAGGTAGTGTGTTAACTGGAACAGCCACTTTGCCGAAACTTAGCCAACTTTACTTTAACATGCAATAAGGGGCGGTTGGGTAGCCTGGTGGTTAAAGCGTTCGCTCGTCACGCTGAAAACCCGAGTTCGATTCCCAACATGGGTACAATGTGTGAAGCCCATTTCTGGTGTCCCCCGCCGTGATATTGCTGGAATATTGCTAAAAGTGGCGTAAAATCAAACTCACTCACTCACTCATTAACATGCAATAAATTCATTGTAATTATTAACTGAACTAATTTAAAGTTCCACAGTTGTAATTAGAGAGTGAATCTTTATAAAATATTTAATAAATGATTAATGCCTAGTCAGAAAATGTGCAGAGTATCCAAAACTCAGGTGTGTTCAAGCTATTGGCATGAACCATTGCTCATGAAGTCGACCACTGGTTTACCATGCCAAGACGAAAGCACCTACGGTCAAGGTCGATTACAGATATGGCTTTTTTGAAAAGGAAGGGTGAATTTTGTGATTTGGTAATTCACGTTCATCTATCATGTTATTTTGTTGCAAATATATCGCCCTACAAGTTTGTGTATATGTATTTTGTATATATCTACTGACATGTCCGAATGTATACAGAGAATCGCCCCTTTGTGTCTCTTGATATCAAATGTATCAACACGAGATAATAAAAGTTTTTCCACTTTTATCAACGAGTGTTGATATATTTGATATCAAAAGACACAAGGGTGAGATTTTATTTATCATCCAACATTCTTCCAGTTTTTCAGTTTGTAGACAGTAATAAGCAGTGTCTTAAGTGTAAAAAGTACTACTGACAGCTTCAGTAGCAGAGCCATTAGTGATGTAATTTGATTGTGACGTCATGGTAACCAATGATGTCACAATTGTCTGCAAAGCAATATGATACTATTTTAATGCAGCAATATCTACAATGTAGATACCCATTGATCTCACCCAAGCCATATCTCCTGTGGGAGCCAGTTTGGGATGATAAAAATGTTTAGTATGCTTCAAAAGTTTGATCACGATATGGCTGAAATACTGTCGATGTGACGTTAAATCTTAACTCACTCAATTCAAAAGTTTGTGGGGGTGACATATCTCAAACATATCTGATACTGGCTAAAAAACAGCTTTTGTTCACTATCAATGGGGGACAAGATATTCATGAACACATCATTGTCACAGAACAAATAGTTTGTAAGAATCACCCAGGCTTTGTATGTAACATGTTTTTTCCTTCACAAATGTAGCAAAATTTGCTGTCAATGTGGGTGTTCAGAGGAAGAAGCACAAGGTACCCTACCCTGCAACATCAGGGGAGCCTGCCTTCGAAAGAGCATTTCGAGCGCAGTGAGTACAACATTTTTGCCTCTAAACATTTGATCATTGAGAAAGTTCTTAATTTCAGAGTCACATCAAATGCATCCATTTGTTTACCCTTAGAAAACACATGTGTACTTTTGGCATACACTCTCTACATTCCTGTGGTAAATAGGGGCATGGATAGCCCAGTTGTCTAAGGTGCCGCAATTCGCTGTGCATAGTTGCGTCCCTTGGCCACACCAGAAACTTATGATTGTGGGTTCGAATCCCGGTTCGCCCTGATGATGTTTGGGTTTGTCAGCACCATACCCGTGCTCGTGGGTTTCACCGAAGTGGTAAACGTCTAAGGCCTGCCTCACTTCGGGCTTTCCTCCTTGATCAAGCTGACATGCCGTGATATAACTGGAATACTGTTAAAAGCAGCTTTAAGCCCAACTCACTCACTCACTCACTCACTCACTCACTCACTCACTCACTCACTGTGGTAAATACACACATCCTATAACCAGAAGGTTGTATACAAATAATGATTATTGTTGATGGCATTTTTCTATCCGCATGTGGATTTAAGGAAGAATCATCCTTGATTATCAGGGGTATTATATTTCCATTCTTTATGATAAGTTCCCAGGACCCATTTGCCACAATTCAATAACACAATGCTGAAAGTAGCTGTCCCATCAGATTACTGTCATGAGCGAGAGATGGTGTGCACTAAGAACATGATGCCAGGGATGGAGGTGGGGATGTCAGGAAGCTGTGGTAGCGACAGGGCCCAGGAAATTTATAACAACAGAATGGAGACATGGATCCTAAGGCTGGGACGAGTTTAAATTTACTACCTGGGTATCCACCCCCCTATTACTTGACTCTACCCAAGTACCCACTGTAGGTCTCAGTAGATGTCTTAAAATGTCTAATTGAACATTTTTAGCATAGCCCTGGCCATGTTTTAGATACATGTATTATGTCAACGCGTATTTTGACGGGGAATTAGCTCTGGGGGAATAAAGGACAAAATCGACATCACTGTCGAACGCTTTATGCACAACATGTCAACAATAAACAACAATTGCACAATGAGCGGAATACCTGCTCTGACAACACAAACACAGCGATGAGCGGACCTTCCAGCTCAGGCATATGAGGTGAGCTCCAGCTCACCTCAGGGCGTTTCCTACGAGCGGCACATCCTGCTCGAGGTCGTCCCTACACCAGCACTCAGAATACCAAGCCTGACTAACACCCAAGTAAAAGTGTAATGGTAACACATATAAAGTAATGAACAACAATGGACAGACAAAGAGACAATGACGTTGCTTTGGACATTGGACATGTGGGCGTGATTAACCAACACAGTTCATGGGATGATCAATTAAGGCAATAAATGCCATACTAGAAAAAGCAGTAGTTAAAGGGAAGTGATATAGTAGTCCAGGCTGACTGACAGTCAAAATACAATGAAATGTTGGTGAGGATTAACAACGGGGATTAGTGACAATTAAGTTATGGAGACATATACTTGTCATGGCTACAGGGTAATTAGCCTTTGCGATCAAATGTACTTCAGACAATGGTAGTCGTAAATCAGTTGCTATGACAGTTATCTAAGCATACATACACTGAAGTTGAATTAAGTTATGTCTTTATTTAACAATATGAAAAATCAGAAGGAATGGGTGCATAGTGAGAAAGAAATGCAAACATTAGTGACTTGTAGTGTAACCATAGAGTCCTAGATAATTTTGTCATTAAACAATATATCACATGACTAACCACTGGTCCGGGTAGTCCTGTGGGTACCCGGGTCCTACTCAGGACCAACTTGAGTTACCCCTCCCAGCCCTAAAGGATCCATTGAATAATGGAGGATGGGGATACAAAGGTCCTGATCTTTCATATAGATATTCAGAGTTCCAGATACACGGTAAACTACGGTTATAACGAACTCAAAGGGACCTCTAATTTTAGTTCGTAATAACCATAGTTTGTTATAAGCATATATACATCATATATACAACAAATAGCTGGGACTAAAAAATAAGTTTGTAATATCAGTCAGTTCGTTATAAGCATGTTCTTTATAAACGTAGTATACTGTATTGCATATTTGCTTAAAATACATGACCCGTGAAGATGCGACTAACGGGATTGGGTGGTCAGGCTCACTGACTTGGTTGATGCATGTCATTGATCCCAATTGCGTGGATCGATGCTCATGATATTAATCACTGGATTGTCTGGTCCAGGCTTGATTATTTACAGACCGCCGTCATATAGCTGGAATATTGCTGAGTGCGGCGTTAAACAACAAACCAACCAACCAACCAACTTAAAATACACAAAATATATCACAATTACCCAATTACTTTTGACTCTCTTGCATTCAAATATGTATGAAAAATTTAAACCCCCAATAATATCACAACACTATATAATTACCCAAAGCATTCTTTTTTAAATTGTGTACCAATAATACAAAGGGTCACGGGAATCACGCACGTTGAGACGTCCAATGCTAATACCGTATTCGTGCGTGCATGATTCCCATGCACCCTTTCAAGTTGAGGTTATTGGTTCAACTGTTCAACTGCAGATGGCTGTTTCAATGAATGCTCGTTCCACTCGTGACGAATAGGTCTGGTTGTTGATGAAATATAGTGATAGCTAAATAGACAGATTTTTTATTAATGTACCGATTGTCTTTAAAGGTAATATCCAGTTATGTTAATGTATGACTGTTTAATAATCTCATTCAAACTTTGACTGGAGTGGGTCCAATAGTTTTTCAGATATTGTAGTAAACGTCGGTACCTTAAATTACCTTCCAGACTATAGTGTATAATGCTGATTCTAATACTACACAGCTAGTGTATAATGCTGATTGTAATACTACCCAGCTAGTGTATAATGCTGATTGTAATACTGCCCAGCTAGTGTATAACGCTGATTTTAATACTACCCAGCTAGTGTATTGTGCTGATTGTAATACTACCCAGCTAGTGAATAATGCTGATTGTAATACTACCCAGCTAGTGTATAATGCTGATTGTAATACTGCCCAGCTAGTGTATAATGCTGATTGTAATACTACCCAGCTAGTGTATTGTGCTGATTGTAATACTACCCAGCTAGTGAATAATGCTGATTGTAATACTACCAAGCTAGTGTATAATGCTGATTGTAATACTACCCAGCTAGTGTATAATGCTGATTGTAATACTACCCAGCTAGTGTATTGTGCTGATTGTAATACTACCCAGCTAGTGTATTGTGCTGATTGTAATACTGCCCAGCTAGTGTATAATGCTGATTGTAATACTACCCAGCTAGTGTATAATGCTGATTGTAATACTGCCCAGCTTGTGTTTAATGCTGATTGTAATACTACCCAGCTAGTGTATAATGCTGAATGTAATACTGCCTAACTAGTGTTTAATGCTGATTGTCATACTGCCCAGCTAGTATATTGTGCTGATTGTAATACTGCCTAACTAGTGTATAATGCTGATTGTAATACTACCCAGCCAGTGTATAATGCTGATTGTAAAACTACCCAGCTAGTGTATAATGCTGATTGTAATACTACCCAGCTAGTGTATTGTGCTGATTGTAATACTGCCTAAATAGTGTATAATGCTGATTGTAATACTACCCAGCTAGTGTATAATGCTGATTGTAATACTGCCCAGCTAGTGTATAATGCTGATTGAAATACTACCCAGCTAGTGTATTGTGCTGATTGTAATACTGCCTAACTAGTGTATAATGCTGATTGTAATACTACCCAGCTAGTGTATAATGCTGAATGTTATACTACCCAGCTAGGGTAATACTACCCAGCTAGTGTATAATGCTGACTGTAATACTGCCCAGCTAGTGTATAATGCTGATTGTAATACTACCCAGCTAGTGTATTGTGCTGATTGTAATACTGCTTAACTAGTGTATAATGCTGATTGTAATACTACCCAGCTAGTGTATAATGCTGATTGTAATACTGCCCAGCTAGTGTATAATGCTGATTGAAATACTACCCAGCTAGTGTATTGTGCTGATTGTAATACTGCCTAACTAGTGTATAATGCTGATTGTAATACTACCCAGCTAGTGTATAATGCTGATTGTAATACTACCCAGCTAGGGTAATACTACCCAGCTAGTGTATAATGCTGACTGTAATACTGCCCAGCTAGTGTATAATGCTGATTGTAATACTACCCAGCTAGGGTAATACTACCCAGCTAGTGTATAATGCTGACTGTAATACTACCCAGCTAGTGTATAATGCTGATTGTTATACTGCCAAGCTAAGGTATAATGCTGATTTTAATACTACCCAGCTAGTGTATTGTGCTGATTGTAATACTACCCAGCTAGTGTATAATGCTGATTGTAATACTGCCCAGCTAGTGTATAATGCTGATTTTAATACTACCCAGCTAGTGTATTGTGCTGATTGTAATACTACCCAGCTAGTGAATAATGCTGATTGTAATACTGCCCAGCTAGTGTATAATGCTGATTGTAATACTACCCAGCTAGTATATTGTGCTGATTGTCATACTACCCAGCTAGTATATTGTGCTGATTGTAATACTGCCTAACTAGTGTATAATGCTGATTGTAATACTACCCAGCTAGTGTATAATGCTGATTGTAAAACTACCCAGCTAGTGTATAATGCTGATTGTAATACTACCCAGCTAGTGTATTGTGCTGATTGTAATACTGCCTAAATAGTGTATAATGCTGATTGTAATACTGCCCAGCTAGTGTATAATGCTGATTGTAATACTGCCTAACTAGTGTTTAATGCTGATTGTAATACTACCCAGCTAGTGTATAATGCTGATTGTAATACTGCCCAGCTAGTGTATAATGCTGATTGAAATACTACCCAGCTAGTGTATTGTGCTGATTGTAATACTGCCTAACTAGTGTATAATGCTGATTGTAATACTACCAAGCTAGTGTATAATGCTGATTGTAATACAACCCAGCTAGGGTAATACTACCCAGCTAGTGTATAATGCTGACTGTAATACTGCCCAGCTAGTGTATAATGCTGATTGTAATACTACCCAGCTAGTGTATAATGCTGACTGTAATACTACCCAGCTAGTGTATAATGCTGATTGTAATACTACCCAGCTAGTGTATAATGCTGATTGTAATACTGCCCAGCTAGTGTATAATGCTGATTGTAATACTGCCCAGCTAGTGTATAATGCTGATTGTAATACTACCCAGCTAGTGTATAATGCTGATTGTAATACTGCCCAGCTAGTGTATAATGCTGATTGTAATACTACCCAGCTAGTGTATAATGCTGACTGTAATACTGCCCAGCTAGTGTATAATGCTGATTGTAATACTGCCCAGCTAGTGTATAATGCTGATTGTAATACTACCCAGCTAGTGTATAATGCTGATTGTAATACTACCCAGCTAGTGTATAATGCTAAAGGTAACACTTCCCAGCTAGTGTATAATGCTGATTATAATACTGCCCAGCTAGTGTATAATGCTGATTGTAATACTACCCAGCTAGTGTATTGTGCTGATTGTAATACTGCCTAACTAGTGTATAATGCTGATTACAATACTGCCCAACTAGTGTATAATGCTGATTGTAATACTACCCAGCTAGTGTATTGTGCTGATTGTAATACTGCCTAACTAGTGTATAATGCTGATTGTAATACTACCCAGCTAGTGTATAATGCTGATTGTAATACTACCCAGCTAGTGTATTGTGCTGATTGTAATACTGCCTAAATAGTGTATAATGCTGATTGTAATACTACCCAGCTAGTGTATAATGCTGATTGTAATACTACCCAGCTAGTGTATTGTGCTGATTGTAATACTGCCTAAATAGTGTATAATGCTGATTGTAATACTACCCAGCTAGTGTATAATGCTGATTGTAATACTACCCAGCTAGTGTATTGTGCTGATTGTAATACTGCCTAACTAGTGTATAATGCTGATTACAATACTGCCCAACTAGTGTATAATGCTGATTGTAATACTACCCAGCTAGTGTATTGTGCTGATTGTAATACTGCCTAACTAGTGTATAATGCTGATTGTAATACTACCCAGCTAGTGTATAATGCTGATTGTAATACTACCCAGCTAGTGTATTGTGCTGATTGTAATACTGCCTAAATAGTGTATAATGCTGATTGTAATACTACCCAGCTAGTGTATAATGCTGATTGTAATACTACCCAGCTAGTGTATTGTGCTGATTGTAATACTGCCTAAATAGTGTATAATGCTGATTGTAATACTACCCAGCTAGTGTATAATGCTGATTGTAATACTACCCAGCTAGTGTATTGTGCTGATTGTAATACTGCCTAAATAGTGTATAATGCTGATTGTAATACTACCCAGCTAGTGTATAATGCTGATTGTAATACTACCCAGCTAGTGTATTGTGCTGATTGTAATACTGCCTAACTAGTGTATAATGCTGATTATAATACTGCCCAGCTAGTGTATAATGCTGATTGTAATACTACCCAGCTAGTGTATTGTGCTGATTGTAATACTGCCTAACTAGTGTATAATGCTGATTGAAATACTACCCAGCTAGTGTATAATGCTGATTGTAATACTGCCCAGCTAGTGTATAATGCTGATTGTAATACTACCCAGCTAGTGGATAATGCTGATTGTAATACTGCCCAGCTAGTGTATAATGCTGATTGTAATACTGCCCAGCTTGTGTATAATGCTGATTGTAATACTTCCCAGCTAGTGTATAATGCTAATATTTCCTCCCCAGAATGAACACACTGGAGTTCCACCCTATCTTCATGGCCTGTCTGTGGACCTCCTCCATCTTCTTCCATCCAGGTCAGTATCTGTACAGTCACTAGATTGCCCATCTGGTGGAATTGGCACCCCATCTGTCAAAGGCAACACAATTCACCTTCAAGAGTTGCGTCCCTTGAATGTGATTCTCGGATTGTCAGCACAGTACCCGTACTCAAGGGTTTCACCAAAGTAGAAACACCTCTTAAACCTGCATCACTTTAGGCTTTCCTCACAAGCTGTCACATTCATTCAGATCATATCTTAGTTCTCGTTACCACTAAACAAAGTGGGGCATGGGTGGCCCAGTCGTCTAAGGCGCCACAATTCGCTGTGCAGAGTTGCGTCCCTAGGGCACGTCAGAAACCTATGATTGTGGGTTCGCCCCGTTTATGTTTCTAGGTTTGTCAGCACCATACCCGTGCTCGTGGGTCTCACCGAAGTGGTAAACGTCTAAAACATGCATCACTTGGAGATTTCCTCCCATATTAAGCTGACATGCCGTGATATGACTGGAATACTGTTAAAAGCGGCGTTAAACTCACTAAACAAAGATCTAAGGACATCCCATATCAGATTACGTCAGAATGACCTTTCTCGTACTTTCATTGACCAAAGAAATGACAAAAACCAGCAGTCGACTTTAGTCAAGTAGAAAGCAGCTGTCTCAAGCTATACACCACTAGTTTCAAACTGGCAACTTCCATTCCAGACTCCGCTTGAAAAATATGTTGACAAAGTTCTCGACAAAATATCTCGTCTCTTCTGTTCAAATGTTTATCCCATGTAAGCGAGAGATTGTCGATGATTTTGGTGGAATCAGTTGTACAGGCTGTAACTGTCGTTTGGAATACCACATGTTTACCTTTTCGAGGTTGCATGATTTGAAAACACATTCTAACGTCACTTTCCTGATCTGGTAAGTGACGCTCTGGTTGGTTGGATGATAAGTTGTTCTGACGTAACTCGTAACGGAATGTCCTCAGATCTTCTAAGATCTGATTTGAATGAGATTGCACCATGACTGAAATACAGAACTCGCTCAGACTCACCAGGTGACGATCCTGAAAGTCCAACTCTTTTCCCCGACTTTTTAGAGAGCAAAGTGTTGTGATACATGGACTAAAGGAAGTAAAGTGTGGCTGCTGCAAGTCCTGCAGAGGTAACAGTTCTGTGGATAGGAGTCCATGATTATCCAAGGTGTTATATCTCCATTCCACTAACTGCCTCTGAGGTCTAGTGGTAGAGCATTCGCCCAGAGAGAGGAAGCTTCAGGGTTCCATCCCCAGGCTCGTCCTACCAAAAGACATAAAATCTCAGTGGGCTAGCACTATAAATCGGCATCAGTCTGGACTAATACAAACAGACACACACACACATACATGCACGTTGCTATGTAAGTGCAATAATCTTGGATGCGACGTTAAACCCCATTTCACCTCACCTCACCTGCGTTCCATGATGACAAATATCCTGGATCCATTTGCTATTGTATGTCAGAAACTAAAATAACTAACCTATGCAATGATTCTGGGATCATGGGTTTTCAGATGCTGAAGAAAGATTTCTAATTTTCTGTAAAACATCTCCCTCATGTATAAAAGAAAACTTTATCTCAAAATTGGGCAATCATCTGAGTATTTATGTAGCAGGGTGTGGAGTCATCCTACAGATGACATCCTTACCTTGTCAGCCTGCTGATGGTGTTAACCTCTTTGGTCATGTGGACAAGGCGTCCGACCTCGGTCAGAAGGTCCGTGGTTCGAATCCCATTGCGAGACTCGGAAATTTTATGGCCGCTACATTGGCGCCCAACGTGGGGTTGAGCACGTTCATATTAAATTTGAGCAAAATAAGCCTCAGTACCCTACTATGCGGCCCGGGACGTGCCTTCTGTTGACGGGGGAGTATGTAGCAGGGCGTGGAGTCATCCTACAGATGACATACTTACCTTGTCAGCCTGCTGATGGGGTTAACCTCTTTGGTCATGTAGACAAGGTGTCCGACCTCGGTCAGAAGGTCTGTGGTTCGAATCCCATTGCGGGACTCGGAAATTTTATGGCCGCTACATTTACAATATCTGTGTGATGCCACACCCCTTGTTATAGCACAAGAAAACGCGATAAACATGAAGTCCAAAAACGTATGATGTCCGAAAACCTATGATCCGACGATAACTCTCGTGAGATTCTCATGACAGGATAGGATAGAGATTCATTATCCTGCACAATCAAGGATGGTGGAAATGAGTGATTTTGAGGGCAAGGTTGGTCTAATTTCTTGGGCTGGGACGATACACCAACAGTGTGATCCGATGTGTATCACAATACTTTGCACACAGTCCGATACGTATCACATTACTTAAATGTGCTCCTATCTGTGGAGTGTAAGCCATCTTTCTCACAGACAAGATGGGCTAATACCCGGCACACAGCTTGCAGGGCCAAGTATGATGCAATGTATGAAAATATTTTCTTTTTCACGACTCATTTTCACTCGTAATTAGTGTTTGGTGTAACATTTATTAAAAAATACATTTAAGGTCAGAATCTATACTTTTTACTAAGTGTGCAATTGTGATCGATACTTGTTTAGAGAAGTATAATATCAGGATACATCGGAGTATCGTCCCACTACTACTTACTTCTGAATCAGGGGGCACGGGTGGCCCAGTCGTCTAAGGCGCCGCGATTCGCTGTGCAGAGTTGCGTCCCTTGGGCACACCAAGAACCTATGATTGTGGGTTCGAATCCCGGTTCGACCCAAATATGTTTCTAGGTTTGTCAGCACCATACCCGTGCTCTTGGGTTTCACCAAAGTGGTAAACGTCTGAGACCTGAATCACTTCGGGCTTTCCTCCCACATTAAGCTGACACACCACGATATAACTGGAATACTCTTAAAAGCGGCGTTAAAAACCAACTCACTCACTACTTCTGAATCATGTAATTTCCGAAACTACGGTCAGGATGTTCAATCATCGGCATCAACTGTAAAGGTTAGACCATCATGTAGTTTCTCGTCACTTACTCAGGCCATGAATGTGTGTTTTAAGACTTACATTCCTGTATATTCCAGTAACAGAAACCATTTTTCCTCACCAGGTGTCACTGCAGGAGTGGGGCTGGTATACATATACTCAAGACGGAGGTACTTCAACGCCTACTGTCAGAGTGTTGAGGGGAGGTAAGTCAGGTGGGGGGTATACATATACTCGAGACGGAGGTACTTCAATGCCTACTGTCAGAGTGTTGAGGGGAGGTAAGTCAGGTGGGGGTGGTATGCATGTACTTGAGACGGAGGTACTTCAATGCCTACTGTCAGAGTGTTGAGGGGAGGTAAGTCAGGTGGGGTGGTATGCATGTACTTGAGACGGAGGTACTTCAATGCCTACTGTCAGTGTGTTGAGGGGAGGTAAGTCAGGTGGGGTGGTATACATATACTCGAGACGGAGGTACTTCAATGCCTAATGACAGAGTGTTATGGGGAGGTAAGTCGGGTGGGTTGGTATACATGTACTTGAGATGGAGGTTCTTCAAAGCCTACTGTCAGAGTGTTGAGGGGAGGTAAGTCGGGTGGGGTGGTATGCGTGTACTCGAGACAGAGGTACTTCAACGCCTACTGTCAGAGTGTTGAGGGGAGGTAAGTCAGGTGGGGTGGTATACATGTACTTGAGATGGAGGTTCTTCAACGCCTACTGTCAGAGTGTTGAGGGGAGGTAAGTCGGGTGGGGTGGTATGCGTGTACTCGAGACAGAGGTACTTCAACGCCTACTGTCAGAGTGTTGAGGGGAGGTAAGTCAGGTGGGGTGGTATGCATGTACTCGAGACGGAGGTACTTCAATGCCTACTGTCAGAGTGTTGAGGGGAGGTAAGTCAGGTGGGGTGGTATACATATACTCGAGACGGAGGTACTTCAATGCCTACTGTCAAGGTGTTGAGGGGAGGTAAGTCAGGTGGGGTGGTATACTTGTACTTGAGACCGAGGTACTTCAATGCCTACTGTCAGAGTGTTGAGGGGAGGTAAGTCAGGTGGGGTGGTATACATGTACTTGAGACGGAGGTACTTCAATGCCTACTGTCAGAGTGTTGAGGGGAGGTAAGTCAGGTAGGGTGGTATGCATGTACTTAGCAATATTCCAGCTACGTGACAGTGGTCATCTTCCCAAGGCAAGAGCATCCACTAGCCTGTATCCACAGTCAGTATATTGTGTCTGAGTGGGGTATTCATGTTAAACTGCGGCATGGTATCTGAGTAAGCTAGCACTATAAACGGCATCAATCCGGACTAGTACAAGCAGCCACACAAACACACACACATACATGCACATCACTATATAAGTGCAATAACCTCATCCTTCCGAGGCAAGGGAGATAACTGACTCTAAAAGTCCAGTTTCTACCTTTGCTAAACAAGGCTTGAATTTCTGTCCTCGATTGTTGTGCTGCCAGTGGCTATTATGAGTTATGTCCCTTCTATGCCCCTCTTATTAACAAATTGGAATCCACCACTCATATCATTTTTGCATTTGATTCAAACAGTCAAGACGATCTGATCGAAACAGGTCTTCCTTCGCAAAGAACATCAAATCACATGAGCACCTTGATTAAAAACATGAAAAGATTTGAAAAATATCTGATGACGCCAGTTTACGGTACATATTGACAGAAATCAGTACGTTGAAATCCATGTTGTTTACGAACGTGATGTCGTTACGTGATTTTGATTTGACTATGCATAGACTTGTTTATCCAGCCAAAATATAACTCCTTAATTGCAGCCTAGTTTGGCAGGGGTAGAAACTGGACTTTCATAGCTAGTTAACTAACTTGCCTCGGGAAGATGACATGTACTCAAGACAGAAGAACCTCAATGGTTACTGTTAGAGTGTTCAGGAGAGGCATGTCAGGTGGGGTGGGGTTGAGAAAAAGGGTTACCGTATTCGACGTAATAAGCGCCCAGGGCGCTCTCAAAATTAGAAATTGAAATATAATTTTGATGAAAGAGTTGAGAGATCGTACATTTCTAGGTTTATGCTGACAGCCTGAAATGATTGAAAAGAAAAGTATGTGCGTATTATACACGACAGATATATTTTTCCAAAATTTAATTGCCCGTAATTAAGGGTTCATATAACACACGAGTGCGTATTATACACGAATAAGTAAATCCTGTATACATTGATCAATCGGAAGGGTGCTAATTGGAATTGTTCACTAGCCAATATATTAGCAAATATCGCTGTGGGCGCTTATTACGTCGAATACGATAATTGACATGATCGATTTTATTCACCATAGGGATTGAAGTAAATCGTATGTGCACTAGTGCAATTATCACTTCACGTGCACCAGTGTATTGTTTGATGTGACACTAGATACAACGTCATGGCTGAAGATAGTTGATGCCATTCTACAATTGTGGTTTTCTAAGACAGCAGTCGTGATCAGTGTATTGCACAGTGTATTGCATAGCTCAAAAAGATTAAGAAATAATTCGTAATATAGAAATCATTACACTCGCTTGTGTGTCATACACATGCTCGTTTACTATTCTTTTTGTCTGATCAACTAGATATGTTTCGACCCGTGAAGATCGGGGGTAGAATAGGTCTTCAGCAACCCATGCTTGCCGTAAAAGGCGACTATGCTTATCGTAGAAGGCGACTAAGGGGATCGGGTGGTCAGACTCGCTGACTTGGTTGATGCATGTCATCGTATCCCAAATACATGGATCGATACTCATGATGTCAATCACTGGATTGTCTGGTCCAGACTTGATTGTTAACAGACCGCAGTCATATAGCTGGACTATTGCTGTGTGCCGCGTTAAACAACAAACAAACAAAATATGTTTCACCCATCAAACAGCTTAAAATCTGAACATAGGTATTCATTCAAACTTCACATTTCACATTGACAACAATTTACTGAATTTGCCTTTACTGGTTGAAGTCTGGTTCATACCTTGTCGAACTCCATGTTTGTTTTCCCAGAATCCCAGAGTTCCTACTCGGTGTGAAGTGTCTCCAGATTATGCTGGTCACTGGTATGGCTGGACTCATCACGGTTGGCCTCCGGCACTACACTGGGATTGACCTGGCCAGCATCATCCACTCCTACATCAGCAAGGTGTTGCCAATCAACTAGACCAGCGCTCATTGTTAGGCTAAAAAAACAATAGGCTTGGTTCTCAGGCACCGCCCGCATCATCATAAAGTTTGCCACATGTTTTGTTTTTATTTCAAGTTTTAAAAAATATATAAAATTCCTAGTACTTAAAAACAATGCGAACCAATATAGAACACAGTTACTTCCCCTTACATTCACACTGCTCTACTGCACTTCTCGTGTTATGGTCATGGCGGCAATAGGAGTTTGTATGCTTGTTTATGTAGGGAGGCCCTTTCCCAGGTTGATGGTACACAACTGTTTATTTGGTTACATACTTGTTTGAACAAGCAACAACAAAAAGACACCGCCCACCCGCACTATATTTTAAAAAGTCATTGCCTGAGAACCAATTCTTTAATTTTTTAAGCCTTATGTCAAGCTAATGATTAACAGATTAATATATATATATATTATTATTATACTTTAGATAAACTACATTTTAATTTCTGTTTCATCTCAAACATATTCAGGAAACATTTGAATACATAGTCACCATACACCAATTGTGATATGACAGGTAGACACCATTAATCATATCTAGCTGGTCCACCGCTTCTTTTAAACCAGTGGTTTCAGAACAAAATAGTTTTCCTGCATGTCTTCAGCAAGTAGACTTGCCTAAAACCTGACTACAGAGGCTTTCTTGATATAAAGATGGGCATCTAGCCTATATCAAAGTCTAGTTTTCACAACTGGACCTTACATAGGCTAGTGGACACTCTAACTTCGAGGGGGGCGGTCGGGTAGCCTAGGGGTTAAAACGTTCGCACGTCACGCCGAAAACCTTGGTTCGATTTCCGACATGGGTACAATGTGTGAAGCCCATTTCTGGTGTCCCCCGCCGTGATATTGCTGGAATATTGCTAAAAGCGGCATGAAACCAATCTCTCCCTCTCACTCACTCACTCACTCACTTTTACTTCAAGGATGGAACTTGGGTGGACTACCACTCATTTCAAAGAGTTCAATTTATACTACTGACTCTGGTAACAAGGCAATGCATTGTTTGGCTCCTGCATCCTTACAGGAACTGATAGTACCATACAAGCCTGCACATTCTCCCCGATAAAAAAATCAACATGCTAATTTGTGTCTTGTTGATTTCAAACATGTCATACAACATTTACATTACAATGCTGACCCAATATTACTTCTTTTTACATTTGGGGGCCACGGGTGGCCCAGGCATCTAAGGCGCTGCAATTCGCTGTGCAGAGTTGCATCCCTTGGACACACAAGAAACCTATGATTGTAGGTTTGAATCCCGCTTTGCCCCAATTATGTTTCTAGGTTTGTGGCAAATGTCTGGTACCTGCATCACATCAGGCTTTCCTCCCACATTAAGCTGATATGCCGTGATATAACTGAAATACTGTTAAAAGCGGCGTTAAACCCAATTCACTCTTTTTACATTGGGGCAGATTTCCCTGCAGGATATTTCTAAGCTACTCATGATCTATGCAACCAATCAGGAACTCCTCGTGCTTAAGTTTGTACAGTGGGATATGGCACTCCATACTGGCTTGTATTCACTAGCATCTTCATGTTTCCATTGTGCAGAGAAGCACAGCTGATAAAACGGTGCCTTGAGGCCAGCTCCCATCTTCGATACACCACAAAGTACCACATTATTTCGTCACCTGTTTCTCATCTTCCTGAGGTAAGGGAGTTAACTGACTGTAAAAGGCAAGTTCCCACTCTTGCCAAACCAGGCTGGATTTTCTGGGCTCAATCGTAGCGTGGCTATTATGAGTTATGTCCCTTCTATATCCTTCCTATTGACCAATTAGATTCCACCTCTGATATCACTTGCATTTGATTGAATTATTATGGCGTCGCCCTGTGAAGGTGATCTGATCGATAATAACATCTATAAGTGCATCAAATCACATGAGCACCTTGATTAAAAACATAAAAAGATTTTGAAAATATCTGTTGACGCTTAGTTGTCGGTACACATGCTTTGCAAATCCTGCAACCGACTGAAATCTGCACAGCAGTTTCGAACCCGATGTCGATTTCCTTACGTGATTTTGATTTGACTGTGCATAGACTCGTTAGTGCAGCCAAAATATGACTCCGTAATTCCAGCCTTGTTCGGCAAGGATGGAAACTGGACTTTTATAGTCGGTTAACGCCCTTGTCTCGGGAAGAGGCATGTTTGACATCAGTTTGTTGGACTGTGTTCTGAGAAATATGTTTTATCCATTCATTTGTTAATGTTTTAATAACTTGTTGATTATGTCAGTTATACTGTTGATGCTGAAGTGATACATAGGATGTATAGCGAAACCTCGTTAATCCGGATACATTTGTTACCAGTGAAATTGTCCGGATTAACAAATGTCTGGATTAAAGAACAATTGTGTTGGAGAAATGTCCTATGACTGTAAGTATACATTTCTGAGAGTATTGTTCAAGGGTTTCCAGACTAACGAGGCTTGACTAACATAGTTTCTCTGTAAAAATCCTATCAGTGGGTTCTTCATGTAAAGCTCTGGTAACACAGTATACACCAGCCTCGCCATCATGGACCGTGAAACGCTGTTTATCCAGACCCTCTTTGGGACAATCTTGCCTCGGTAAGATGGAGCCTGTCTGGAATGCTTTCTTTGGGACAATCTTGCCTCGGTAAGATGGAGCCTGTCTGGAATGCTCTCTTTGGGACAATCTTGCCTCGGTAAGATGGAGCCTGTCTGGAATGCTCTCTTGGGACAATCTTGCCTCGGTATGATGGAGCCTGTCTGGAATGCCCCTTTGGGACAATCTTGCCTCGGTAAGATGGAGCCTGTCTGGAATGCTCTCTTTAGGACAATCTTGCCTCAGTAAGATGGAGCCTGTCTGGAATGCCCCCTGTGGGACAATCTTGCCTCAGTAAGATGGAGCCTGTCTGGAATGCCCCCTTTGGGACAATCTTGCCTCAGTAAGATGGAGCTTGTCTGGAATGCCCCCTTTTGGACAATTACTGTTGGAAATATACTACACAAATTGGAAAGGGATATTCTGCGTGTCCAGGCGGAAGATAAATGGGACTGTTGTTTGGAGAGGTTGTTTTGATGTCTTACAAATAAGATGCGATTCGGGCTGACCTGAACTTTTTAAGAATAAACAAAAGTAAACACTTATATATGATGTTTTCTCCTGACTTTTGTAAGAGTTTGAGCTAGCACAGTATCACCATCAGGAGATTAGTATTGTTCAGACTCACGCATGTGAGTGAACGATTCATTTTGTCATCGTGTGGGAACAGAAGTGAAGCCTGCATGTCACAAATTTTGACTTCTTCCCATTCAGTGTCTCAACCATTCTGTGAAGCTCATTTCTTGTGTCCGAACCGTGATATTGCTGGGATATTGCTTAAAGCGGCGTAAAACCATACTCACTCTCTCAGGGTCTGAACACAAACACCTGCTGTTTATACTATGCAATACGGTTTACTATATTGCGGAAATCTTCTAAACCTAGGCACGCATGTTCCCATAGTTACTTTTGTTTATTATTACCGTATTCGACGTAATAAGCGCCCAGGGCGCTCTCAAAATTAGAAATAGGGGGCTCTTATTAGAATAGTAATGTTTTTAGCCTGAAATGTTTATATACGACAGATATATTTTTCCCGAATTTAATTGCCCATAATTAAGGGTGCATATAACACACGAGTGCGTATTATACACAAATAAATCAGTCTTGTGTACATTGATCAATCGGAAGGGGTGCTAATTGGGATTGTTCACTGGCCAATATATCAACAAATATCGCCGTGGGCGCGCATTAGAGCGGGGCGCTTATTACGTCAAATACGGTACTTGAAATATAGCTTAACATGCGTGAGTCCAATTCCCAATTTGTACCGTTAACATCTCCAAACAAAGTCCGTTTTCTACCTCTGTACTCACAGAATATCCCTATCCAATCTTAAGTAGACTTTATCAGTACAAGTTATTCCTTTGTTTGGTAATTTGTTAATCTCTGTAACATGAGAGTCCACATTATCAGGATGTCACTCTACATATCATGAACAAACATTTTATTTTTAGATAGCATAGAATTAATTTAGCACTTTGGGACAGTTTCTAAACGAAGTGAAATTACGCTTTTGGTTTGTTTCAAACCAGTTTGCTTAGAAGCAGTTTACACTGGGTGACTATTTTTTACAAATATGTCTGAATCAGGGTTTTTATATTGTGGCAAATAACAAGGAGGCCTGTCAGTGGTCTTGTGTATGCATGTGTTATACCAGCCTGTGTTTCTGCAGGGAGTAATATACTACTGGTAATATTAACTGTGTTCATCCAGGCCAAGGAGCAGTGAAGCAAAGGCACTGGTTGGTTGGTTGGTTGGTTGGTAGTGTATCAAAAGGATATATGTCTTAATGTGTAATAATTAATTTTACATGATTTTATAATAAATAGAAATGTAAATGACACATACTTATGTCATTTGTTCATGGTGTCATAGCAACTAATTTGGGCCAACCTTTGTCTGAATAAACAAAGGTTAACTGTCCTGCAGCCATGGCATGTATATGTCTTGAATCACTTAATTGTCATTATTTATTTGATGATAATCACAATTGTATATCCCCATTGTCCCGCTGCCCAAGCAGACACTCTACCATGAGACCATGGAGGCAGTCTGGGCAGTCTGTGATGTTGAGGTAAGGGACTAGTACAGTATTGTGATGTTGAGGTCAGGGACTAGTACAATATTGTGACGTTGAGGTCAGGGATGAGTACAGTATTCTGATTTTAAGGTCAGGGACTAGTACAATATTGTGACGTTGAGGTCAGGGATGAGTACAGTATTGTGATGTTAAGGTCAGGGATGAGTACAATATTGTGATGTTAAGGTCAGAGACTAGTACAGTATTGTGATGTTGAGGTCAGGGACTAGTAAAGTATTGTGATGTTGAGGTCAGGGACTAGTACAGTATCGTGATGTTGAGGTCAGGGACTAGTACAGTATCGTGATGTTGAGGTCAGGGACTAGTACAGTATTATGATGGTGAGGTCAGAGACTAGTACAGTATTGTGACGTTGAGGTCAGGGACTAGTACAGTATTGTGATGGTGAGGTCAGGGACTAGTACAATATTGTGATGTTGAGGTCAGAGACTAGTACAGTATTGTGATGGTGAGGTCAGGGACTAGTACAATATTGTGACGTTGAGGTCAGGGACTAGTACAATATTGTGACGTTGAGGTCAGGGACTAGTACAGTATTGTGATGTTGAGGTCTGGGACTAGTACAGTATTGTGATGGTGAGGTCAGGGACTAGTACAGTATTGTGATGTTAAGGTTAGGGACTAGTACAGTATTGTGATGTTGAGGTCAGGGACTAGTACAATATTGTGATGTTGAGGTCAGGGACTAGTACAATATTGTGACGTTGAGGTCAGGGACTAGTACAGTATTGTGATGTTGAGGTCAGAGACTAGTACAGTATTGTGATGGTGAGGTCAGGGACTAGTACAGTATTGTGATGTTAAGGTTAGGGACCAGTACAGTATTGTGATGTTGAGGTCAGGGACTAGTACAGTATTGTGATGTTGAGGTCTGGAACACCCAATACTTGCAAGAACCAAGACATGTGGATCAGTGTTCAAGCACTGGTGTGCCAGTACAACACATGGTCACTGTGATATGGCAGGAATAGTGCTGACTGCAGCACGATGTATGCACTTACTCACTGACCAGAAAATGTACAGCATACTCCTCTGTGACTACAGTATTGTCAGGAAATCTTTTCTAGTCATTATGCACCAGCATTGACTTGTCCCAACTGACCCACATATTGATCCGAAGGTTTGAAGTCGATCAACCTTGCATTTATCTGTTGCCACCCGAACCACAAGTTTTGACCTGACAGCAAGATGGCCCGAGACTTGGTGGGTCCACAGCTTGTACTGGGGGACATTGTGCTTCCAGCGTTTATGGCCCTCCTTGTCGGGCTGTACATACAGCAGGTACATGTTGAGAACCATTGGAATAATAGGCCAGCGATTGTACATACGGAAGCATGGGTGGATGTGCTGGTTCAGTTCAATCAAAACTTTGGATGACTATGACATGCAACTTTTTATCTCCTGACCTGGTATGGGATACATGATTACTGACGATTAACACATCTTAAGATGGTGGATACTGTAAAACATATCTCATATCGTGGGGTATATGAGAGTTTTAAATGAAAATTAATTTTATTTTTTATTGATTTAATTCCCTTGGTCGTACACTTCATTTCCCTTCTTCTCTCGGGTCTTACACCCTCAAACATAATCTCAGAGTCGTGCATTACCCTACACATAAAGCTGACATGCCGCGATGTAACTGTTCAAAGTAGCTTTTAACACAACTCACTAACTAGTCCCTGTACTAAACATAACAGACACACCTCTATCCAGTACAAGCCATGGATGCTTGTCGTAAAAGGCGACTAACGGGATCGGGTGGTCAGGCTCGCCGACTTGGTTGATACATGTCATCGATCCCAATTGCGTGGATTGATGCTCATGATATCAATCACTGGATTGTCTGGTCCAGACTCGATTATTTACAGACCGCCGTTATATAGCTGGAATATTGCTGCGTGCGGCGTTAAACAACAAACCAACCAACAAGCCATGGAACCTGCTTTATACGACACGTAGGAAAGGCTTTAAAATAGATACCAAAACATCTTCTTTTTTCTTTTCTTTTCCTATTATAAGATAGCTACGAGGTAAATCACAAAGGACAATGAAGAACGAAGCGTAGTTCATTTCACAATAAAACATTGTTCTAGTAAGTTGTTCCCCATAGGATAAGCTGGGCTACGCAGATAAACGCAGTGGCCGAACGAATTCAAAAGTGGGCGATATATGACACTCGGGATTAGGAGAAAAGGTACAGGTAATCGACGTGAGGATTGTGAGAACAAGGGGGAATATACGAAACGTAACCCATCTGTTCGTAAAATGGACGTGTCCGACATTTCCGAGGTTAGAATTCTATTCAGGGAGTCATCATTATTAAATTGTGGGTAATTTTTTTTTATATTTGTACATTTAACGCTTGTTGTTTAACGCCGCACTCAGCAATAATCCAGCTATGTGACGGCGGTCTGTAAATAATCTAGTCTGCACCAGACAACCCAGTGATTGACATCATGTGCATCGATCAACACAATTGGGATACGATGACATGCATCAACCAAGTCGGCGAGCCTGACCACCCTATCCCATTAGTCGCCTCTTACCACAAGCATAGTCGCCTTTTATGGCAAGCTTGGGTCGCTGAAGACCTATTCTACCCCGGATGTTCACGGGTCCTCATATAAGAAATAAAAGACTCGCGGTCGTTGTTTATCGTGCAATAAAACACTGCAGGGAGAATAAACCACGAGGGGCTGCAGCGTTTTATTGTACGATAAACAACGACCACGAGTCGTATATTTCTTTAATAAGAGTCGGTACAACCTTTCAGGACTGACTCTACTGAGAAACGTCACAACCTACTTCCTCTCGTTTTGTGCATCCAAAAAACGTTCACAATTTAAATACGTTAGACTATGTTTTACTATTATTATTTTTCTCTTAGATATTGATAGCATGTACATAAATATATATGCAGATAAATACATTTTGGGAAATTAAATTTCCAAAATGTATTTATCTGCATATATATTTACGTACATTATATCAATATGTTAGAGAAAAAATATAGTAAACATAGTCAAACGTATTCCTTGCGCAAACATTTGGCTGCCCTTAGAAGCTATTATTATAATGACTTAGCAAGCAGTAGCAGCAGCAGCAAGCAATGGCAGCAGCAGCAATGGGCAACTTTGTTGCCAGCAGCAAAATCCTCCTGAAAAGCAGAGGCAGAAGGGCTGAACAGATTCCCGCTGAAAAGCAGGGACCTGATAATTTTGATGATAACTTTGTGATTAAGTAAGAATTAACATTTGTAGCTCACAAGAACCAGGCCAACATCACGCATGTGCTGAGCCCACACCCAAGACCATGAACCATGAGGGACCCCCTAACTAGCCACAGACAAAAGAATTAAGTTTTACCAGAGACCATATAATAGATTATTATATGGTCTCTGGTTTTACTTGTTTGTACCTTATTTGGCATCAGGGCTTCGCAGATTGAGCTCGTGAAAATTTCATTCAGTGAGAAGCACCAGATTCTAAATGAGTGAGTGAGTATGGTTTTACGCCGCTTTTAGCAATATTCCAGCAATATCACGGCGGTGGACACCAGAATGATTCTAAATGAAATTATATACAACACTGTAGCTGAGTGACAGCCGTATGACGGAGACATTCTTTTCAAAGTGCGGTCAGATGTGAATATTCATTAAATGATTTTGTTTGTTTGTTTGTTGTGGCCGCACTAGCAACATTCCGGCTATATGATGGCGGTCTGAGAAAAATCGAATCTGGACCAGACAGTATCTTTATTTACGTTAACCTTTCTTACGACTCTGTCGCCCTGCGTGATTTACGACACATCTCAGAATATAGGGTTTCGACGGGTA